AAGGAGAAGAAAATCGCTATAAATTAGCCAAAATGTCTGGACAGGCCTTCAAATTAAAAAGACGCATTATTATTTTGTTGAGTTTTGTTGCTACAAAACATTAAGTGTAATAATCCTAATATTGTTTAAAAATCAATGTCATAAATTGCATGTATTTTAAACTGTGAAATTTTATTAGATTATGATATTAATAGGGTTTTTTGAACAAATATTATGAAAAAATAAATTAAATTTGATAGTATCTATGTAAATCCATAATGACTAAGGTTATCTAATACCTAATTTACAAGTGCTTACCCTTAAAAGTTATCTTTGAATATTAAAGCGAGTTATTCCCTTTCATTAACCTTTACAGTGGTCACAAGGTAGAACACAAAAATATAAAAATTTGTGTAAAATTTATTCTTCGCATCTAGTGAAACTTAAAATAATACAAAACAACTTATCACCCCTAGTGCTTTAGTGGCTTAATAGAACCTTAAAGTATATTAACTGAGTTACAACCCTTGGAACTCTACACAAAGCTACGACACTAACTGCATCAGACAGAGCTCAGCTAACTTCCAAAACTTACTTAACTGTGCCTACATCATTTCTTTCAGGTTTGTTCTGATCAGCAGGTCTGTCTCTCTAAGCAAGCAGGAGCGGTGACAACAGCCAGTCTTTTATTATGAATCATGCTGATTATGATATTAATGCTCATATGCTGCTTGACATAAAATCTACTATTTTTTAAACCTTTAGACTGAGCAAGTATGTGACAAAATGAGACATTAAAAAAAAAAAAAAAAAAACCTAACTGTTAGTAAAACGTAACTAAAATATCACTTACCTTCTTTCAAAATATGTCCAGTTATTATAACTGTAAAATATTTAATGTTACTTGATAAATTTCATAATATTTATTTTATTCTCAAGCATATTAATAATTCTGTTAATTAAGCTATGTTTAATGATAATGCATCCTACTGACGAATCTCTTTTATTTTTAGGGTGGTATTAAAAAGTGAAGTTCAGGCATAGATATAATAATTTTAATTGAATTTATTCAGTTCCCATTTGCTCATAGGTCCTTAATTTTTTTCATTGATGATCCTTAAAAGTACTTAATTTCTGTGTGCAGAAATGTGTACAAACCCTGCAAACTTTTCATGTGATGTCATTAGTAGTTTTTCATGTTACAGAATTTTAATTTCAAACTCAAAAAACTGATGTAGTCTGTAATTATACAGACTTGGGGGGGGGCATTTTCTGCATTTCTGTTGATTTGGGATGAGTGAAAAATGATGATGGTGTGAAGGCTATTCAGTTTCATGTAATCAGAGCTAAAGACACGAATTTTGAATGAATGGTGCCATCTTTTAAGCATCATAAAAAGGTTAATTGTGTGGGGGGTGGTCAAACAGTGTAGTATATAAGTAGGTAGAGCCAGGAAACAATAATTTATCCTGGTCTCATTAAGTAGTGGCTGAACGGGTTACCTGATAGGTCTAAATATCATTACATGGTAATCTTCTGATTAACTGGGCCTTGTTAAAAAAAAAAGTTAAATTTGTTTTATTACGGAATAGCAGAAAATTTACTGTCATGGACCATTAGTGTGAAACCAAATTGGCTTTATGCCAAATGTAAAAAGGAAAAGAAAATTGCTTGGGGCAACATCAATGTTAGCAAATGATGACATTTTGGCATTTATTTTTATCCAGAACAATTTGTAATTTTAATAATATTTAATCAAGAATATACAGTACAAAGTCCGAGACCCGGACATCCAGTAACCTGAATCCGGCTGAATTTAGGAAAGACTGCAGTTGCACTTCTGAAAAAATTCGGAAAGCAAAATCTCCAGTCGAGAAATTACGCACCGGATTAAGAGTAGGGCAGAGACTTGTTGACTTCGCCGAAAATGGGAGTCAATCACATTACGAAGTACATAGCTTTTCCGACATCTCCTACACGAGCGATCGTAGCTCAGTGGTAAAGAGCAGAGCAGGATTTCTCCCTACATCAAGATTGTGGGTTCAATCCCCTACCTTAATTTTGGACTTTCTGCTCCTGCAAGGACTTTTTAATTTTGTTTTTCCATCACTAAATTCGAACTGCACGACTTAAAAGTTACCTTTTATTTTTTTTTTTTTTTTTTTTTTTTTTTTTGCCTATGGGTGTGGTGTTTATTGAATTTGAACGCCTTTCTTTTTATTTTTCGAATAGCCTTTGGCACATGTTTTAGATCGACTGGTGAAAAGTATAGTAGTTGTGTACCAACTCAAAAAAAAGTCACAAAACTGTAGCTGTAGCTAGAGTAGCAATTTAAAGTAAAATAGTCATACATTATTTTGACTATTTGACAACACCTAACGCTTTGTTTACAAATTGTAGTAGACAATTTAGAGGGCGGGAAGACTTTCTTTCACACTGATTGGCTCAATGAATTCCTGTACTAACGAGAAAATTGTTCCGTGTGGACAGGCGAGCTATCTCAGATATTGTCGGCCGAGGAAATCGCTATGTGTAGACAGGCCTTAAGTGTATGTGGAAATTGGTTTATTCAGGCTCAGGTAAGCTTTAACCTGGGAGAAGTCGCGCAGGGCACATAGTCATCATGCGTCAAAAATCAACAATCCTAAAGAAAATTTCATTTAATGAATCATCCTTTTAGTATCCCTGTTTGACACTCCCCTTGAAGTGTATTGTTATTTTTGTTGTTTTTCTTTTCGCGAGAGACGAATCGTTTCTTGGAATCCATGAGGGAATGGGGTGTGAGTCCCTGCGACCATTACTGCTTCGAAATTTTTCATTAGTAGAAGTTTAGCTTCGTGCTCTCGTGTGTTGCCTTTGGTTTCTGTTGGATTATTTGATAGATAATGGTTTACAAACGTAAATTTACCGAAATGAAAAAGAGATGGAACGTTTTGAGACTGTATTAGATGAAGTTGAGTCTCTGAAGGAGAAACTGATCAAGATAGTAAAAATGAATCTGAATAAAGAAACATACAGTTCTTACAACAGCGAAAGAGAATTGAGCAGAGATGAAGACGGAAATCCTGATTTAGTAAAAAGTATTTTTATTAGCAAAAATAGAGTTTGGCGGAAAGGAAAACCAAATCAAAAAGTGAAAAAGGTCTTCTCAAATTATAACTCATTTAGCAGGATAAAGAAACTGCACGCAATATAAAGAAGCTTCTAGAAAGTTGAGAATTGTTTTTCAATGCTAAAAATGATACAATCCATTGTAGAGTGTACAAATATTTATTGGAAAAATATTATGACAAATGATGTGGAAATTAGAGATTTTTGAACTTTTTGTCAAAGAAGTTAACTATTTCAGGAACCCTGAACAGAAACAAGGCTGAAATTCCCCTCCAAGTTTGTCCAAACAAAAACTAGGAATGGTTATTCTTCTATATTTGGGTTCTAAAAGAACGCGACACTAGTATCATATGTGCCTAAAAAATTAAAATGTGTAGTTTTGTTATCTACAATGCATTGTGATGATGCCATTAATGAAAGTGATGATACGAAGGAACCAGAAAAAATTTACTTTCATAATGCAACAAAAGGTGGTGTAGATAAAGTTGCTAAAATGTTATCATTATATTCGAAAGCTCGAAAAATCAACAGATGGCCAATGGTCATCTTTTACTGTGTTGAACATCACTGCAATAAATACCCAAGTTGCCTTATTCTCAACAAAGACCCTTACAATATTGAAATAGTAGAAAATTCCTTAAAAAATTGGCTATATCTCTTATACAGCACCTCACATTTAGATAACAAAAAATATGTCAATGCTTCCTAAAGTGGCTTCGTGAAAGCATCGATGATGGACTTCTAGGTATCAAAAGAACGCCATCAAAAAACCAAAACTCGACAAAGGCGCATGCTACTGTCCAAGATCCAAAGCAATAAAACAATTTCTTGCAAAATATGATAATTTTTCATGTAAATTCATTCTTCCTATGTTGCCAGAAGTGTATGTTAGCTCTGACTCCTGATTAGGTTATACATTATTGAAGGATTTTTTCTTAAAATATTAAATAAGTTTTTAAGTTAAGAAGTATAGTTTCTCAAGAAATATTGCAATTTTTTTTTTATAATCAAATGATTTCTATAAAATATATAACACATTTTCCTAATGAAACTGATTGGGGTGACGCTGTCACCCGGCACGATCTCCAACGTCAGTGTTGGGAGTGCGCCTTCTGCCGGGTTAAGCATGTGCAAGAAATAGACGTAAGTATAATAACTAAACTAACACAATCAGGCTTAATTGTCTCAGTACATGATAGAAGCAAGAAATTTAGCAGAATAACTTGTCTTCATGATACATAACAACAGGGCCGGATTTACGTATAAGCTACACAAGCTATACCTTAGGGTCTCCTATTTTCTTGGCCAGCATTTGTGCCATAAGTCAAAAGTAATGAATTTAACTTAACTGAGTAAATTTTAAGTTAGCCCAAAGGCTACACAGACAAAATGTGGGCAAGTTTGTGCGCAATTGAGACCTAATAGAGGCATGACAAGCCTAATGATGAGAAAAACGCAATGCTGCAAGTTAACTACTATCAAGAGATTCAACTAGTAACGGAGCTGTCAGCAGGCGGAACATGCTCTGATTCTACCTTCTAAAACCTTTCTTTATGTACTATTTCTTTCTACCTTGTTTGAATACATGTAAACTAGAAATTAGTGTTCTGGCAGGAAACCAAAAGTGAGAATGAGGAAAAAGTGCTGTAACATAAAATGAATACTCTATAAATGTTTTGTTGAGAATTATTATACATGTATCAGCCTCAAAACATTTGACTATAATTATTGATAAGGTAATGCAGGAGTTATAATCTCATCATTGAAATATACATATGAAGGGAAACTATTGTATTATGAATTACTTGTTAAGTATTTTTCTCATGTATTTGATTTGCCTGCCTATTGTGTTATTTATACTCATTGCTATGTTGCGATGTTTATGCAGTGTTCTATTTGATCTAGTTATAATATGACAATGCTAGGACATGCTGTGAAGCCTATAAACTCATGTCGAGGCGGTAGGGAAGGAAATAATGCATTTTTAAAGGTAATCAAGTCATTTTTAAAGATTTCATTTTATATTTGCTTAGAAATGTGTTTATTTTGTTATCTACATGAATTATTATTAAAAGTAATGTTTGCTTTAATTTCCTTAAGGATGTATGGTTTTGTGATCAAACATATCCCGAGGTTGATGGTAATGTAATAAAGGAAGCATTGAGAGCTGGTGTCTCAAAAGACACTCTAAATCTTTTATTTGCTGAAAATAAAGAAGACTGTTGCAGCTATTCATGGGGAGTAAGTCCTAAATTTGATGTAAAATTTATTATTTTAAAACTACAGACTATATGTTATTTTTACATGTTGATTTGTATTTAATTGCTTTTAATTATAATTAAGTGGCATAAAATATATCACAGGCTGTATTTAGAAAAAATAAATATCTTATTGCAAAGTAGACAAGACAAGAAGGGTAATTCAAAGTCATATAGCTCAATTCTAATTATTTTTTTTTTTTCTTTTATTGAGTAACTCTATTTCTCCTTTCCCAGATTTCTCTTCTGAATAGAATTAAAATAATAAAATTTGGAGTTTGTTATTTAATGTTTTTCAGTAATTTTTATTAATATAATTAGCTGGTCCCTGAAATGTGCTGCAATGCTACTTGAAAGAAAAAAAGTGTTTGTGTTTTAATTCTGTTTTTTGAAGTGCTTTTGGATACATACGGTTTTTGTTTTCGCATCTGATATGTATACGAATAGATCTGAAGCTTTCATGCTTGAAGTGTTGACCGAGCAGTTAATTTTTGCTTTGATGGCATAATTAATTTCACAGCAAAAATAATGCTTTGTGATGACTGTTACGAATTCACTTTCAAAAAGCAAAAAAGAATGTCAAGCAATAACATACATATTAACCTACTATTCAGGACCAACATAATGTAGGTGTGGCACAAAAATTCCACTCTTACCAGCCCGGCATTGCATATACACGAGGAGCTTCTATCAATCTTTTCAGCCCAGTGTTGCATATATGTAACTTGAAAACAAAATGATTTTTTTCAATTTTGTGCCAGTAGATGGTGCTAAATGGTAAAAGTTTTCACATTGGTTGTTTCACATGTTGTTTCACAATGGCAAAAGTCATGTGGCCTTTGATCTTTATGTATGAGCATCAGTTTCTGTTCTGTGCTTCTGGTTTCGATAGATTTTTTTTGGGTGTAAACACATTGGGAATAACAGCTTTAAGTTAAAAGGGCACTGATGTGTTTATTTCATTAGAAATTTCTTTCTTTATTTTATTTTATTTATTTATTTTTTATTCTTTGAGTTAGAAATTTCTTTCTTTATTTTATTTTATTTATTTATTAATTTTTATTCTTTGAGTTTTTTGTTATTAGAATGTGAAGTGCATGCTGCTCAATGTTTTCATTTATTCATGTTGGTTTTTTAATTAGGAGAATGTGGGAAAACACATCTAGCTGACTATAGTGGGTGTAACATCGCCGAACTTCTGTAATGGAAAAACTCGAACCTGTTGTCCTTTTTTATATTTATTTTAAAGCTTAACATAGACTTATTTATTTTAAAGCTTAACATAGAAAATTAAACAGTAAGTTTACAGCCTTATTATAGAAGGGGAAAGACATCAGCTTTCCCGTAGTGTGATGCATCGTACTTGCTCAGCATATGCTTGGCGGAAAAAGCCGTCGTTGTCCTGCGTGTTAATGCTTGTTTTGAATTATTCCACACACAGCAGAATTATTAAATTGGAATTTAATTACCTACAGATAATTATTGCTTAATTTTCTTTAAATTTCGTATTTGCAATTTTGTTTTCATATGTATAGTATAGATTTTCATGCATATAGTTATAATTTTAGTATTTTGCATGTTTTCTTTTATTTCTATTGTGATATTCTTTAATATATATTAAGTACATAACTTCAAAAATTGAGGTCATTATATTAAAATGCCGATTTTATATGAATTTTTTGTATAAGTAGGCTTAACTGCTGAAAATGCCTGGACCAGTGGCGGTGTACCATTTCGGATGGTTTCGTCTTGTGGCTGCTCTTCATTTTTTTCATGCTGGTCCTTAAGGGGTTAATGCGTGCATGTTAGTGTTTGAAAATTTAAATATTTTACACTGTGCTAAATACTAACATACCTTACTTTAATTTGGATAGTGGCAACACATTTTTCTTAAATTGTGTATTAAATTCAAGAGAAATTAATATAATTGCGTTTCCACTAATAGCAACAATTTTTTGTATTGCCAAGTTTTCTGATTAAATTTGAGCATGTATCTGATGCTTTGCAGAGTGGCAACACAAAGCTTTCAAGTTGTTGAGTTCTTAATCATAAGGTTTTAAATTAGCATAAAATATGTTTATTTAAAGGGTGTGGACCCGATGGGCTAGTTGTTATGAAACCTTATGTAGAAAGTGACATTCCTCTTTTTTCTTCGAATGTGGCAAGTTTCATAAAGATAGGAATTAAAGTGTAGATTTATATATATATATATAGTATTTCAACTGAAAATAATTTTTAGATTTCATAATCCTCTAAAATTAGATTTTTTATTGCATATTGTTGTTTTCTGTGTTCTAATGCATTTCTGACTGGTATGCTTTCTGTTTCTGTAGAAGGATGAAATATTTAAAAATATTCATATTGCTGTGAGAAATGGTCATCATAAGCTTGCGGGTCAGCTAGTTGCTGAAGCTGTTACAAAGGGTGGCTATGGTTTTGGAAACCTGCATAAAGAGGTTTGTTACTTAGAAAATATTTTTTCATTTTTTTCATAGTTCCCTAAAATTTACTTATAATTTTTTCTCTCTTTTTTAGGTTTTATTGAATGATAGACAGCCATTGTCAGCATTTAAGCCAATATCTGTTACAAAAAAAGCCCTTGGCAATGCAAGGGTATGTATGTGTTTCATAAAATATAACTTTTAGCATGTTCGAAAACTGAAGGAAAATCTTAACTTTCTAAACTGAGAGCATTCACTTTATTGAAAAGACATAAATATTGTATTCTTGGTAACATAACCTTTTTACAGTATCATCGTTTAGCAAACTTAAAATTTCTGGTATTATGGTTAAGAAAACATATAAGCAAAATAACTAATTGAATGGAAAGGGTGCCATAAAGAAAACATTCCAGGATGAACATTTGCAATAAAGAATTTATATATATGACAAGTACAAATGTGACAAAATTGTTGCCAGCGACGAATAAAATATTTGTTTATATAATCGGATACTGTAAATTAGGCACTTCGAGTTATACCACGTCATGCTTCATGAGCATGCATTATACGGAGAAAAAAAGAGTTAGAGGACTTAATGATCTGCTGTAGATGATTGACTTTGATTAGGAGGCAAGCAGCAATTAGAAGATGATTCAAAAATTCTTATTTTAAAGTAAGACACTACAAATGTAAATTGTCTCCAGAAGATAAATTGTGATATTATGTTGCAGTATAAAAATATTTTTGATTAAAATGAATTGAATATTGTTACCACATAAAAATAATTTATAAATATAAAAGTAGGGCATATGCGAATGGGAGTTAAGAATGTACGGAAGGTATTCCATCATTGCTTCGAACTTTGAGTTATGCGTATGAAGCTTTTTCTTGAAATATGATTGTTTGCATTATCATTATTGTGTGAGGTAGGAATTTTTAGTTTTACTTGGATGTTTATTCAATAATTTTAAACTTCATATGAGTAATCAATAAAATTAACATATGCAGTTATTAACTGTTAAATTGATTAGTCAATGAAATTAAAGAACCTGGTAATTTAATGTGAGTATTTGTGCAGTATGTCACTTGAAGATCAACGGATCAGTATAATTTATTGAAATCATATCATTAAATACATTTTACATTCTAGTTAACTGTAGTGTGCCACTAAAATAGAATCCAAGAAAGAATGTATGGATTCCTTTCGTTACATTTATGAAGATTGCTCCTTTGTGGGACATAAGAGTATATGACTTTTGTTGCATTTGTGAAGATCCGCCCCTTTGAGGGCTATAAGAAAGTATGATATTACTACTGATATATGCAAATTTTCACTCCTGACAGCTGCACAATCACAGGAAAAACTAGGGTAGAGAGCAAGACCTTTTATTTGTATAAAAGGCAGTGCACCCATGTTGTTTCTTTATTTGTAATTGCGAACAGTGATGTTTAAGATAAAAATTACATTGTTGGTTTAGAAAAATATTACAGTAAATTTTAATTTTTGGCAGCCAGTAATGACTATAGAATATCTGCAAGTCATTGTTTGAGTGTGTACAGTCATGATTAAGTAGTTGAATGTCACAAGGCAAGAAAACGTTTTTCCGAAAATTACCACATCAATAAGCATGTAGAAGAGTGTTATTTCCTGTAAAAGAAGCTGAAGGTGGAGGTTCTGTGTGAAATCATGCTAGAGGCTAGGAGGATTACAACATCCCTAAAGGATGGATATGTCACCCTAGTGGCATAAAGGAACAAATACTACTGCCATTTGTATTTTTGCAAGAATTATTTCTTGGAAATTAAATAATGTTGGCTTACATGTGTGGAAGCATGTTGTATACTCTCTCCTATGACCACTCCTTCATGAGGAAAGACAACATTAGTGTGATGCGCATATATTGGGTCAGCAGCAGTGGTCTACAGTTATGCTTTCTGGCAAATCTTGCTTCATCACAAACTGTGATTCTGTGTGCCAACTAGTGTGAAGAGAGAGGGGCCTCAGTATCATCACCAGAAAATCCAGGAAACCAATTGCTATGCCCAAGGAGCAATTACGAGCAGGCATCAGACAATAGCAGGACCCCTTGGCAGAAGTACAACAAGATTGTACTGTGTTACAAGCATATCCATCCTTTATATGGAGCAGTTGGTCCAGACTTTCTGCATATGGGTGACAATACTCTGTATTGCACACTAGCAGGGTTAGATGTTGGGTGCATAGCAGGGTTAGATGTTGGGTGGAGGTTCTGTGTTAAATCATGCTAGAGGCTAGGAGGATTACAACATCCCTAAAGGATGGATATGCCACCTTAGTGGCATAAAAGAACAAATACTACTCCCACTTGTATTTTTGCAAGAATTATTTCTTGGAAATTAAATAATGTTGGCTTAAATGTGTGGAAGCATGTTGTATACTCTCTCCTATGACCACTCCTTCACGAGGAAAGACAACATTGGTGTGATGCGCATATATTGGGTTAGCAACAATGGTCTACAGTTATGCTTTCTGGCAAATCCTGCTTCATCGCAAACTGTGATTCTGTGTGCCAACTAGTGTGAAGAGAGAGGGGCTTCAGTATCATCACCAGAAAGTCCAGGAAACCAATTGCTATGCCCAAGGAGGAATTACGAGCAGGCATCATGCAATAGCAGGACCCCTTGACAGAAGTACAGCTACATTGTATCGTGTTACAAGCATATCCATTCTTTATATGGAGCAGTTGGTCCAGACTTTCTGTTAATGGGTGACAATGCTCTGTCTTGCACACTAGCAGGGTTAGATGTTGGGTGCATAGCTCAGATATAAAACTTGGATGCACGAGACAAAAGTGGGATGGGATGCTCGAGACAGAACCCTCTTCAAACCACACAAGAATGGTTTGAAGTGAAGAATAGTATGAATAAGAAAACATAAAATCAACACAAAATCACGCTGAGAGGCAAGTTCTTAGTTGTTTTATGTGCAACATGCATAATAGATGCCAAATAGCATCAATGTCCAAGCAGGTCACACTCCATACTGAAAGATTTATATCTGTATTTAATTCACGTAGAAGGATATTTATATTTGAAATTGGATCCTGTTGAAAATAGCTGTGATAAGCATTTGTGTGTGTATGTGGTGTTTTTTTTTTTTTTTTTTTTTTTTAACATGTCGTCATGTAGTGTGATCTGAATCATTAATAATGATATATCATGATCTCTTTTAAATATTTGCCACATATCATTACGTTAAATCCCACCCATCATTAGTTATGGAGAAAATTTACTGTGTTACTTAGCATATATCAAGCAGTATATCAAATTTGTTATAAAGCTGTTGTATCAAATTTGTATTATTCTAGTTTGAAGCATTCCAGTTTCAACATTAGACAAAAATTATTTAAAGTTCAGGTGGTCAGAGTATCTAACTAATTAACTATCATTTTAAAAATTTTGAATTCTATCCCAAAGACAAGGTCTTGGTTTAATTACTGTTTAAATCTACTTTTATACTGATATTTCTTCAAATATATATATATATTTTCATAATTGATTGTTTTATGATAAAATAATAAAGAATTAGAAAATAACTTTCCAAATCTGTGTTCTATGAAACGTAACTATGATAGACTTATTTATTTGAAACTTTTATTTCATAAGTTTGGATGTTGCAACTTAATGTAGATTTTTTATTTGCTCTTACAACTAGTAGTCATAGTAATGATTCATAGTAACATTGAATAGTTAACAATCCATAGTAATAAAAAATGCTTATACTAAGGGAAACAACTATTTTTCAGATTACTCCTTTGCATTGTTCTGCAATTAATCCAAATCCAATGTACTTAAGTTCTTTGTTGACTTCGGCTCCCGAATATAATCTTCCTGATGATAATGGATGGCGTCCCATACATTATGCATCAGTTTGCAAAAGTACTGGGCCACTAGAATTGCTGATCTCAAGGTAATTTTCTCAGAGTAATATTCAATGTTTTAAAAAAATTGCAATGAACTGAATGTTTTAACAGACTACATGTTAATTAATTATTATATATATATGTCCAATGAAATTAAATAATGTATTTTTAATTGAAATAAACTTTTCACCAATTTCTGTTTTTATTTCATTTTTGACTTTTTTATACATCACGTTACTAATATTATTTTGATATTGCTTTATATGTGATGTCATGTTCTTAGCATAAGATATATCTGTTTTTCAAGTTATATAATATGTAGGATTTAACTCATAAAGTAAAAAAATGAACTTTTAAAGCCAAATACTAGTGCTTATGCTTAGTTTCCTTTCCAAAAAAGTATGTTTAGCAACACTACTGACATTCCCTTCACTATAAATAACAAAGAACATTCAATATGCAAAAAGTGATTGAATTTGTTAGATATGTCCAATGAAATTAAATAATGTATTTTTAGCCCATTAACTGCCAAATTTTTATTTCATCAATTTTTATTTTAATACTGTTAGTTTACATCTAAATAATAAGAAAAACATGTTTTTTTCATAATGCTTCAATTTTTTCCTGAAATTTTAAATGTAAGTCCGATCCCCAAATGGGGATCATGGCTGATACTATCTACTTTTAATACCAGCGTTCAAAACAGTGTACATGTAATCCAATATTACATTTTCCACATTGTTTTCTTGCATTTGTTTTGCAACTGCACATTTTCTTTGTTTACCATTTTCGGTCCGTTCAATATAATGATTACAAAATGTTCTGATAACAGTAGGAACATGATTAATTGATGCTTTAGTGAAAGAATTCCTTCCACCCTTTTTTGCATTTGAGAGTTCTGAAGATAAAGCAAGATATCCTTTAGCAACCATCCTCCTAAACTAGCAATGGAATTTTATCATTTGAAATACAATACAGCGCGTGGTGGTTAACCAGTGTTACGTCGATGGCATTAGTAAGCAAAGGAAAATATCATTTTCGCCCCCTTATTCTGATTCTGTATTTTTGAACATTCCAATCCGTCTTTTTTAATCCACCCATGTATTTGTTATATTCTGATATCAGTTTGGGTAGTAGTACTTGGATATCTTTCTTCTCTGTTCTATTCCATCACTTCACCTCTGATATGGGTTCGATAGTTTCATGATTAGACAGAAGCCTTACACAACTGTTGTCATTCCACATGACAGCTAAAATTTCATTACGGGAATCAAATCCATAGTCATATGCCCCGAGTTCTTTTTTCCTTATCTCTTTGTTTGTTGCAATAGGGCAGTTGTTCATTCTCTTGAATCGAACAGTTCCGGTTGCTCTAATGTCAATGTTCCTGCAAATGTTTTCATCAGAGAAAATCTTGTGAAAAAATTGTCGAGAGTAAACTTTATGAGCATTTGGTGTCTGAAAAATAGACACCATCTGAAGGGCAACATAGATGTCCCAAGCCCACTGAATGCTTTCATCCTCTCCTAACTTTCTTTGATTTGCCTTCATACACTTGAGTCTGATAACAATATCCAGTCTGTGAACAACAGATAGCCCATTGTTTGCTAACCCCAAACCGCACTGGCTTACCACGTATAAATTGTTTGAGGTAGTGATGTCCATAGTAAAGAACCATTTGTTCGTCAATGCTCAAACTTTCAGAAAACATACCCCCAAATTGTTGAAAATTTGTCATTCAGCTTGTCAATCAATGGGCGAATCTTGAAGAGGTTATCACGTTCACCTAGTGCAATACTTTCTAAATCGGAGTTGTTCACTGATATGTAGGTACCGTTTAATTTCCAGAATACCTATTCCGACTCATGCATGCTCTAAACACACAGAATGTTCATGTCTTCATCTTTACACCAATATAATTGTTCTTGCGGAAGTGAATGATAGCCAGTGAAAAGAAGTATTCCTATAAATTTTTTTAGGCAGTTATTAGAAAGCTGAAATTGGTGATTGTATTTCTGTCTGGCATATATTACAGACTGCTGGACAATATAGGTGACAGTTTCATTATCAAAAAGTATTTCAAAACACTCTACCGAGGATTTTCCCCTAAGTTTTCTAATAACATCATTTCGCCTTGTCTCTATAACATCAGAATTTTCATATGGTTTCGAGTACGTAGATTGCTTCTTTTTCCAATTGGAAGTCAATACTTCTTTTCTCTTTTTAAGTGGTAAGCCGGTACCTTTTGTTACTTCATTGGCTGAAGATTCAGTTGCATTCACTAAAACATTTTCCTCAAAATCCTGCCACACGGTGAATTTCAACACACCCCGGCAAATCAATGTTTTCATCATCAATTACGTTGTCATCCATGTCCTCATTATTTGAAATCTCATCAGCCTGCTCTGGTGGAATTTCAACAATATCTATGGGGCTATTATAGTCAGATGCATTAGATGCAAAAAAAATCATCAGAATTTACAATTTCTTATATTTCTTTTAAAGAAAGATATCTTTTACGCGGCATTTCCTGGGGGGGGAAAAAAGAAAAACATTTTTTTTTTTGTTTTTTTTTTTTTTTTTTTACAATTTTATTCAGTATCAGCTATGATCCCCAAATGGGGATCGATATATCTAGGTTCATTGTACCCATCTAAATTACAGTATGAGGATAAATAATATAAATACAATTAATTTACTTTTACCAATGGTCAAGGGAAATTCAATTCAACAAAAATTAATTGTTCCTAAGTAACTTTTTTGTGCTTTGAAAATAACCGTATTATTTTTCTCGTGAAAAGTAACGAGAGAGCAAGCAAAATAAACTCGTGAGCTCAACTAACTGAGTCCACATGTTTGTTTAAGATTTCTACCCTTAGTTGCAATCTTCAGGAAAGTATGACCACCCACCCGTAAGGGACCACACAGGTGCAGCATGACGTCACAATGTATACAAATGTAGGCGATCCCCATATCGGGATCATGGCAGGGAATGGGTTAATTGAAATAAAAATTTCACCAATTTCTGTTTTTATTTCATTTTTGAGTTTTTTATACATCACATTACTAATATTATTTTGATATTGTTTTATATGTGATGTCATGTTCTTTTGAAATAAGTGCAAAATGTGATCAAAGATGACAGCATAAGATATAACTGTTCTTCAGGTTATATAATATGTAGGATTTAACTCATAAAGTAAAAAATGAACTTTAAAGCCCAATACTAGCGCTTATGCTTAGTTTCTTTTCCAAAAAAGTATGTTTAGCAACGCTACTGACATTCCCTTCACTAAGAACATTCAACATGCAAAAAGTGATGATCACGATTGAATTTGTTAGACAGCACTGCAGGGAGGGTATGCCATTGACAGGTCCGATATTATTAGTGGCTTAAGCAAAATATTTCATGTCAAAATGAACTTAAGATCTCAATGCAGATATTTGCCTTTTTGGTTAATCAGATTTTATATAAAATTCTTCAGTGGATACTGATGCAACTGAGTAATTTGCAGATGAATTCCTAAATAGTGTGAAGTTATCTCCAAAGCAAAGCACTGACAAAACTTCTGGTAATATTTGCTCTGAAATACCTTGCAGATTTTTGTAGAAAAAGCATCAAAGATGAAGCAGGATTAACAATTTTCTCATGTGCAGATGCTGCAGGAATGCACAGATGTAAACTTTTCATAATCATTTATCATTCAAATGAAAGAGCATAAATGACAAAGATTAATGAATGATTGGTTTGAAAATGTTTTCATATCCAAAGTTCAGCAGCATTTGAAGTAGGTGAATTTACCAGATGATACGAAAATTGTCCTCATTATTGAAAACTGTTTGGTTCATACTTCATTTAAAGTTTTATTAAAAGATAACATCTCTGTCTTATTCTTTACTTCAAATTTTACATCCGTCACTCAGCCAATGGAGATAAAATTCTGCATACATCTCCCGCAGAATGGTGCTTAAGACACCCTGATGTCTGGGCTGAAGCCCTACCCCATATAGAATTCTGGTGTTGCGAATGAAGTCCAAAAATTAACTAGACAAAATCTCAAACTTAGATAAATTTTAAAAAATCAAAAAGTTAAGTTAAAAAGGTTAAAGTAAGATTTATGATTAAAAGGAATCTAGTATAGACAAATTTTCTGAAGACTGGTCAAGGTAATGACTATTGAAACTTAGAGTTCACAAAGCATGAAATTACTCAGTAGTAGCATGTCCCATGAGCTTTTACACAGTTTGGAGTATGGATTGTAGCTGCTCTGCAATATTAGCATTCTGTAAGAAACTAAAAATCTCCAGAATAATCCTGCCAAGTTCTTGTATGTTCAGATTATGGAACCACGATAAAAGTCCTTCTATAATGTTAGTCACTAGAGCTGATTTGCTCTTGACTTTGTCACTATAACGGGTGCTGCTAGGCATCTTGGTTGGGCTATTGTCAGTTCTAGGTAATTCTGGAATGTTCATCTTTGATACTTCAGAAGCAGGTTTCTGCTGGGATCTCAGTTTATGCGTCTTTTCGAAATTTGACTTGTAGGCCTCACACCCACGATAGCTGCTGGGGTGCTCCCCTCTGCAGAAAATACAATGAGGTTTTTCATGGTAACACTACTTGCATTGAAAGAAAACATTACATTGTAAAAACTTACATTGAAAGAAATGTTTAGTAAAAGAAAAAAGTTTTTTTTTTTTTTTCAGGTATGTGTGTTGATATTGATAAGGGAGAGATTTTGATTTTTTTTAATGCCATAAATACTTTTATTATTTCATAACTATTTCATTCATTTAATTTATAAGTTATGTATTTCATCTTACTAGCTTTAAACTGATCTAATCTAAAATCAGAGAGTTTCTGGAATCGCCAAAATCCCATCAATTTTAAATCTAAGACTATGTGAGTTAAATTATATAGAAAATAAAAATATTTAAACTATTAATATAAAAGTGCTATATAAAGTAATATACAGAGAGTGTCCACACATTTTTGTAATGATTTTGCAAAGATTTATATACAAACAAACATTAGAATATTTTCTAATATGTTCAGTTTGATAGCCCTTTTGTTGAACTATCATATTACATCTTGAAAGTCCTGTTCTTAAAACATCAAGGTTGATTTTGTTCCACACCTCCTCCTCAATGTTCGAGAGTTGATACATTGTTTTGGGATGCCGCTTATAAAGAGCTTATTTTAAAAAGTCCAAATGGATATTCATCCATAGGAGACACATTCAGGGGACTTGGGTGGTTTGCATTTAAAGGGGATAGCTTGAATTCTGGTTTTCTTGTTTTTTTAAAAAAAATAGAGCTGTAGATTTAAGGTATGGTCTTATTCTGATGGAACTTAACACAGTGAAGATTGTTTGGATAAAGAGATGGAATTTCTTTTTTAAAAATAGATGCTAACACATATTTCTGATAGTAATCCGAATTATTTTTGACATTTTTTTTTTACTTCTTTTAAGTTCTCTGTTATAAGAAAATCCAGTAATAACCATAAAACCTGTAGAAAAACTTTTCTTGTTTTCTCTGAACCAACATATTAAATCTTTTTCTCGTCCTTTTTTGGTAGTGAATCGATCTTTTTCTATTGCAATCAGGTAGGTATACACAAACCTCATAAATTGTAACTAAATATCTCCATTTTTCACCTGCCAAGTAATTTTCATACAGCAGTCTGCACATAGTGTTACACTGAGAAACATGTTCGGCGTTAGGCGATGAACGTCATGTTATTCTGTTTTGATTAGCTTTAACCTTCTGAAACCGGACCGAAATTCTCATAATATAGCCTTCAGACTGGCGCGATCCGAAACAGTTTTGCCCCCTCTTTGACAATTTCTAATGAGAAAAGTCGTTAGTCCCCCTCCGTAGATGCGGTAAAATTTACATGTTTGCCGGATGCTGTCCCATAGTAGATGGGTTGCTAGATTTGGGTTTTTTTCAATGATTATTTTGCTTTCATTTAAATGAAGTTCTAAATAAATATGCAGTACTGGATGCATATCCAGTGCACTATTTATTTAGAACAAAATGTATGCAATGTTTATATTTCACTCACCATTTTTCTGATCAATCTCGTAAATAATTTGTGAATTTTTTAACTTTGTTTTCACTATTCATTTATATTTCGTATTAGAAATTAGAAAATGAGAAAAAATTTTACAAAATATAATAAACACGAACTAGCTTTGTAAGTCTGCAGGCTGGAATGCGATTTTTAATAACATTTTCATTAACAAAATAATGGTAAGTAATTTAATGAAATAATAATAATAATAATATTTATTACCATTAGATGATTAGAATGAGATTCAATACAATTAGATTTTGAGATGAACTTACAGCAATAATAAAGTTTTACATAACAATAACAGAGATTTAAATCTGTTTTTTTTTCGATAATTTTGTTATTATAATATAAAAAAGAAAATCCGAGATACATTGGTTGCGTTTCATCACTTAACTTTAACAAATATTACATTGGACTATCTGGCAAAGGAGGTATATCTTTAACGAGAATTTTTCTTTGTAAAATTGGCTTTTGTTTATGTTAGCAGAGAAAAAACATGTGTGACCTATGCATGCAATCATCAAAAGTATTTTTCAGAACAGTTTTAAATGTTCACGAAGAATTAATTATACGCCAATTTCTTTTCATAGGTAGAATTTTTGTCTAAAACCATCGTTATATCTAAAGGTTGAAGTCTATTTCATTTTCAACGAATATTCTATTTGCATATAATATATTTTCTAACTTATTTTAGAAAGAGTAATCTTTCAGGTTTTCTAAAGAATAAGGACATATTGGGTGTTGACACTTACAATGTAGTAAATCTGTTTTTCATATTTCTTCCAGTAATGAAAACAATTACCCTGGAATATTTTCAAAGCAAAATTAAGAAAACCATTTACGCCAAATTTTGCATAAAGTATCTTCTCGTGTATTTTTTGTTTAAAGTGAAAAATTTTCTCTTTGAAAATATAAAAAATCATGAATGGAGCAAAATTAATTCATGAGAAATAAGTTTGAAATGCAATAATTCCATCGTAATATGAAGTAGTGGAGAAAAGTACAATACAGTTTATTTATTCACAAATAATCTGGTAAGACAGTTGTACCAGAGCCGGCATTGAAGAAGGTCATTTTCCTGGTACAACTTCTGTACCAGCCGGCTTCAGAAAGTTAAATCGTGTTTTATAATTTTGTTCATGGATATTTAGATTTTGCAATAGCTCTTTAAAGGGCTGGATTTTCCTTTGGAACATGAAATGTAACTAGATTTAATAACAGCTGTACGTACCTTTGTTGGGTGTGCAGTTTTTGCCTTTTTCCAAGTCGGATATAAATTTTGACATTTTTTCCCTTTCATATTGATTATCTCAGTTATTTTACACGTAGAAATATTAAAACCATGCTTTTCACGTCTTTATTATTATTATTTGTAATTGAATAAGAGTATTTCTCTTTGGACTGTGCAAAAATATAGCCTTTGATCCATTTTTTATTTTTCAGCAACATATTAAAGAAAAGAATATTATTAATACTGCAGAAAATAAATCTTATTTTAATTTGATGTCGGTTACATTTGTATTTTAAAGTTATATTTAAGTTTATGGAATTTATTTATATTTTTTTTTAAAGCTGTATTTAAATTCAATAAAGTAATATTTAAATTCATGGAAAAAAATCAAAATCATTAACAAAAATGTGTAAACCCCCTCTGTAACTATAAAATACATTTAAAAAAATTGTTTCTACCTCTTCAGCAAAAAGAACTGATATATTTATTTCATCTGAGAAAGTTATTATGGTTAGATCATTTTTATTGGAATTTTTGCTTATGAATGTGGAAAAAAATAGTTATAAAATTGTTTTCTTTCCATTTCAGGGGCATTTCTCTTGAAGAAACTGAATCTGAAGGAAATGCAGCTTTACATGTTGCAGCACTCGCAGGGAGAGCCCATAATGTTGATCTAATTTTAAGGCACTTAATTGCATCAGGTATCATTCCTTTCAATTTTTTCCCCAAGTTCTTAGCATCTGTAATTAATCTCTAGTTTGTTAATTATGTATGCCATTCTTAATATTCTTAAATCCTTTATTTTCCTCTATTAAATAGTATATTTAGGTCCCCCAGAATTGTGTTATTTCAAGTTTCAACACACATGCACATATTCGTTTTAAACGTATATGGCTGTCTCTCTTTAGTTATATTTATGCACATATGCTGTTCCAAATTTATTGAAACAAAAGGTATCTGAGATCATTATTAAAGGACATTCAATTGTGTAAAAATCGCTACTGATAAATTTCATTTACAGTACTGTATTTTGTGTGAATTCTAATAAAGAAATGGTACAGAAGTGTGTTGAATTTTCGTGAAAGTTTTAAGTGGAAATGCAGTTTCAGGTAGAACATCAAGATTATGGTTCGAAAAATATGAAGCAGATGATTTTGCCTTTTTAATGATAAGCCTTGCTCTTGGTGGTCATCTTTAATGGATGATGATATTGTCAAGGCCATCATGATAGAGCAAGATACTTTTGACAACATCAAAGATTGCAAAATAGATGAAATCAATTCAACAAACCAATTGGGACTATATTCGGGAACTAGGACTGCTTTATAAATATTCCAAATGGTGCCTCATAAGTTAAATAAAAAATATGTGCATGACCGAGGGGAACAAAAATGATCGCCTCTTAGACCATATGACCACTGGTGATGAAAAGTGTGTTACCTATGAAAATAACGTTAGGAAAAGAGAATACTGTTAGCTTGTGCAACTGGCCATTTCAATTCTAAACCGAAATTGAGCCTTAATAAAAGAATGCTGTGTATATGATGGCAGGTCCAAGGAAGAATAAACTATGAGCATTTGAAACCTAACAAAATGCTCAGTTTGTAAAGATACTGTCAGCAAATAGATATTTAAACAAAGTAATCAGAGAAGTGATTCCATCAGTATCCAGAAGGAAGTACATCGTAATGCATCATGTTAATGCCAGATTACATGCTGTTTTTCACAAAATCATTGAGCTAGGCTGAGAAATTTTGCCCCATCCACCATACTGCCCAGACTTAGTACCCTTCGATTGTCACTTGTTCCTGTACTTGCAAAATATTTTGAAGAGAAAAATTCAAAACTGATGCAGATATCAGCCAAGCATTGTTTTTGAGTTTATTGCCTCTAAAGAGAAGACATTTTTAAAAAATGGTATTTTCAAATTAGCATCCCGTTGGGAAGAAGCATAAGTAACGGCAGAGATTATATTGTAAAATAAATATTAAAAGTGTGAAATATATGTATTTGCTTCCCAAACAGGCAGAATTTTCCAGTACATCTCATATTATGAAATTGTTAAGTACTTTTTTATGACAGTAAATTATAAAAAAATGGCATTGTGAAAAAGCATTTAGAATTTATCTTTTATCTGAGGAAGTATTCACATTTTCTTTTCTCAGTTGTAAGTAATAAAAAAAGTGTAAAATAGTGTAACAAAAATACATACACATTTGTTTATTAATTTTCAAATTTTTAATGTAGACAAAAATTGTTTTAAAATAGCAATCTTTATATCATAGTTGTTTCAATATTATTTCTTCCTTATTGTAGGAAAGGGGGGGAATGCATAAAATGGGTTTGCCAGAGAAGTTTGAAATATGCTGCAACCAGTTCACTTTATTTTAAACTATTGCATTAATGATGAATATATTTTCCCTTTTATTTATTGTAAATTATTTATTTGCTTATCTAATGGCATTATTATTAAATTGTATGAATAGTTGGAAAGAAAAACCTAGAAAAATTCTCTGATGTTACTGACCAGTATGGCCGTATTTTTTTAATATCACCAGTGTCTATGGCACTGACCTTTTTTATTAATCTTTCCTTCTGTTTTTTTTAGCAGTATTGAGATGTGTTATGTTTATTTATGCTACTATCATTTACTTTTTTTTTTATGGGAACAATTGAAAGTTATTTTGGAAATTACTTATCTTCATATGCAGTCTTCTGTTTTTATAGTTATTTAATAATAAACATTATATAACCAGTAACATGTAATTTATCTGTGTATCAGCTGTAATTTTTTTTAAATCTGCAGTATTTCTTTTTGTTATATTTTTTTAGAGCATAATAAGAAAGAAACTGCTATTACTGTTTCACTTCAAGATAAACAATGTGTCAATGCAATTGACAAGGGCAATAAGAAATCATATACAGCGCTACATATTGCCTGCAGAGAGGGCCATGCTGTAAGTTTTTTAATCAAGTATTAAAATTCACACAGTATATATGCATAGTGCCAAAATTAATTGAATATACATTTCATAATATTATTGTAATGAAAAAGTTGGAAGAGGAAATAGTTTAGTAATTCTTTATGTTTCACACAGTATACATGCATAGTGCCAAAATTAATTGAATATACATTTCATAGTATTAGTGTAATGGAAAAGTTGGGGTTGAAATGCATTAGTAATTCTTTCTGTTTTACTTCCGTTAAGAATGTTTCTGGGCTAAAACACACTATTTAATATTTAAAGCATGTCATTAAAATATTATTAATTAAAGTTGTAATAATATATTTTTAAGTCTAAGTAGATTGAGAAGAAATTACGAGAGAGATTTCCATTTTACGTAGTGTTTTCCTGTGCACTTTTAAAGTACTTCCCTAGCTGCCTGGGTTCTTCCAGGGTTTGTAGCGGTCCTTATATTTGAAAATAAAATATAAAGGCCCTTATAGGTGCTTACATTTTCTCTAAAGCACTTATTTTTTTGTTATTAGTGCTTTTTTGTTTTTTGATGAACGCACATTTTTCCTCCATACCAAAGTCGAAATTAAATAAAGAACTTTTCTTTCTTATATGGAACGCCAGATGGTGAACTGTACTCCCGGAAATAGCTTTTCGCCCCTTTCTCTGCATTAACGTAACCTTAGATATGCCCTAGTACAGACACATGCACATCAATCTATTGGTCAAAGAATTGCGAAAGCAGTAGAAAACTCCGGTACATTCTGTATTCTTTTCCTCCCACCAAATACTACACACATTTGAATTTCTATCAAGATTTTAATAATTTACATTCTTGTTCTTCGTGGTCAGTTCATATTATTCACGTTTATTATGATTATTATGCTTATGTTATAAGCATGTGTATGAATATTTATAATATAATTTGCAATAACTGCTGAAATATAGATAAAATTCAAAAATGAGTGTGTTTAGCTAATACTTGTATTTATTTTTTTTAAAATCAGTAAATGGTACATTAAATTTAGCAACACAAAAATATGTATGTTATTCATTAATGTTATTTTCTTCATGTTAAATCATGTTTAAGTGTTTAGTACTTTGATAAACAAAAGCTGTTCTTCCCTACTTAGGATTTAGGCTTTTCACAATGTAGAAGTGTAAGAAAATTGCAATGAATTAATGAAATTAGTCAAAAGACATAAAATAGTTTTCTAAAAAGAATGTAAATTAATGAAATTAGTCAAAGGACATAAAAAAGTTTTCTAAGAATAATATTTGGAATGGTATAAATAAAGTAATCAAACAGTCCATTTTTTTTTTCCCTCCTATGCATTTGACAGTACGGAAGTTGAAGGGTTCTCCCCTTTCTCTGCAAAATCTTGAATATTTAAACTGTTACAGTTTGCAGCAGAGCAAGCACTCCCCCCCCCCTTTTTTTTTGTTGTTAACACTTTCCAATCTGGATTGAATAGGATTAAAAGTTCTGCGGTCTACCAACCCAAGCGAAGCGCGACATGTCCTGCTTAGTGATAAATATGCCACATAGGCACATGACGGTGAAAACCGGAAGAAGCAAAGGGGCTTTATTTAGTTATTTATTCTCCAAATACCAGCAGCTGCTGATTCCGATTGTGTAATATCAGATGCGGAAGAATTAAGGGGCACATATTGCGAAATAACATTTGCATATTTTGCAGAAATAAAAGAGTTTTACTGTGCTTGCTAAGCGGATTATTTTTCGGTTTCATTGGGCTATATTTATATGATGCACATATTGAAATTTCAAAATCATTATTTAGCTGAAAAATTTAAAGTACGACTACAATCTATCCCCCCTTCCTCTTTTTCCATCATTGCTCGACTATCCCGAATTATGAGATATTCGGCAATTTCCGAGTATGCTGGTTAGTTAAGCTTTCACTGTTAAAGGATGACTGCATGAAGCGATTTCTCGTCTTCTGATTTCAGAAATGTTCCTTTTTTTTACTTATTTTTACTTAAATTACTTGCAGTATCTGTTAAGAGAAAACTGTTATACAATGAAAATTTAGAAAATATTGAGAATTTTGATTTAAGTTAAAATATTTAAATATTAATATGAGTGGGAAAATAAATTGTATCTATTTTTAGGTGCCAAGCAAATATAAAAAATATGGCTTATTATTATTTATTTTCTGTATTTTGAACTGAAATTTCATCATTAAATATTGTAATATAATTTAGTTCTGCATAGTTATTTTTTTTTCTCTCATTGTAAACTAGTTCTGTAAATTGAAGTGTTATTTAAAATTTTAAAAAAATGTAATTGTTTTCCATGGTTGAGTAATGCTCTTTCTCTCTTAATAAAAACTGAATTTCTCATATTTTAAATTAAAAGTCTAATTTTTTTTAAGGTTATGCAGTTGTGTATAATATAATTAGACAGGTGCTTATTTTTTTCTTAAAATGTGCTTGAAAAGTGCTTGTAGGTGCTTATTTTTTTAACTAAAATGTGGCTACTAACCCTGTTTTCATCACATCTCTGAGTAGATCTCTGGATATCCTGGTTTTCAGCTTTTAGCCTTTAGTAAAAAAAGCTATTTTTCCTACTAAAATTAAATTTATTGAATAATTGAACTTGAAATTCCACAATCTCTATCCCCCACTGCTGGTGATTTTCAGCTTTTCCTATTTAATTTTATTTGATTTAAATTTTTTAACCTACTGGAAACATTTGTAGAATATTTTGTGAGGATTTAGCTAATACTTGTATTTAATTTTTTTTTTTAAATCAGTAAATGGTACATTAAATTTAGCAACAAAAAATATGTATGTTATTCATTAATTTTATTTTCATCATGTTAAATCATGTTTAAGTGTTTAGTGCTTTGATAAACAAAAGCTGTTCTTCCCTACTTAGGATTTAGGCTTTTCACAATGTAGAAGTGTAAGAAAATTGCAATAAATTAATGAAATTTAGTCAAAAGACATGAAATTTAGATTGTCTATTTATATATTTTACATTAGAAGCACATTATAAATAGCTCTGTAATATGAGTTACACACTATAAAGTGAATTTAAGTCAGTTTGGTGTTCCTTTTGAAATAGCATTATCTCAATGCATGAAAGGCTCGAGGAAACTCCTGTCTTTTGCACAAGAACCTCCCAGTTTTGCACATTTCAAAGTTGATCACTACATACAAAAATGGTTATGTTATTTCAAATGGTTTGATATTTGAAACTTAATGCATTTGTTTAGGACTAGAACGATTATAATAATAACCCTGAAAATTTTAAAAAAGGTTATCTGAGGTATCATTCTTATATCATACATGATGTATATTGTAATTTTGCTTTGATTCAGAAGTTAAGTGGGTTTGCTGATAGTGGAAAATAGCCTTAAAAAAATACTTTTTTCCAAAGGGGGGAACAAAAGTCAAAAAGGTGATCAAAGGTGTATTATAAAAGTTAATACTGTGTTCAGGAGTACATTCAAAGGTACACTGAATGAAGTATTAAGCTGTTTTTTCCTAAAAAATTAAAGAGTTAGTTTCCATGTCATGTATTAGAAGTTTTTAATGGAAGGAAAGGATGTGTGGATAATGTAATTGATAAAAGTTTCAAAATAAAATAGCTAACTTTTCTTGATTGAGTAAAGTACAAAGAGGATGTATAATTTGTATCATAGTATGGGACCAAAAATTGTTTCATATTATGGGAAATAATAGTGTTGTTATTAATATTTGCAAACAGAATTTTCTATTGTAGAATTGGGATGAAATATTTTGACTGCCACCCAGATGGTACAGTGGTTAGGTGAGCCTGCTTTTGGTACCAAAAGGCTCGGGTTCAAATCTCAGAGAAGGCAGGGTTGTAATTGTCTATCCCTTCACAGGAAGCAACAGGTGCCTCCATAATAAAATGGCCACCATTTCTGATCTTAGGTGTGACTGCCATTGGATTTTAAAAGAAAGTATTTTGACCAGTTAATTACTAAATTCTTTCTGTGTTCACAAAAGTATGCAAATAGTATTTTCATTCTCAGATTTTTATATGCAATTTTAATCTGTAATATATCTGTACCATAGTTATTTATTGTAAATATATTTCAGGATGTTGTGCGTGTCTTGATAAGGCACAAAGCAAATGTGGATAAACTGACTAATGCTCAGCAAGACAAACTAACACCACTGATGTTTGCATCTCAGAAAGGTCACTTAGATATTGTGAGCCTTTTAATTGAGCATTCAGCTCAAGTTGAAATGAAAGGTTTGTATCTTTTCAGTTCCCCCTCCCTAAGAAAGAAATTAAAATGTAGATTAACTTTGTTAGTTGCAGTAGCTGTTAATGAAATTGCTATGCTTGGAAGATAAATAATATCTCTGCATTGATGATATGATACATTTATTTATAATGTACACATTATTAAAAACTATTAAGCTATTTTATGTAACAAAGTAACAAAATACATTATAAAACAAAGGGATAAATGACCCATTTTCAAATTTTGCTTATATATGCTGTCTCAGAAGAAAAGGAAAAAAATGCAAACATATGTTAAAGTTTAATTTGATCAATGCATTGCATAGAGATGACTATACATATATTTTTACAATTTAAAATATTAAAAAAAATCAATTGAAATTTTTTAGATGTAAATTTAGCAAATTGATAAAAATAATTTTTTCTTCCACTTGAAGTCAAGTCCGTTACCTTGAGATTATTTTACCCACAATTAGTTTATAAATCTGCCTGAAGGGGGCAGTACATATTTAAAGTAGTCAAGTTTACCTTATCTATGTCTCTGAATATGTTCTGTCTGCTTTAGACAGATTTACAAACTAATCGTGGGTAATATAATCTCAAAGAAACGTACTTAAGCTGGAAGACAAGTTATTTTTATTGATTTGCTAAAGAAAAAATCTTCTGTAAGTAATTTTTATTATGACTATAAGACACCAATAACTCATATTTAAAATAATTTTATAAGACACCAATAGTAATTGATATAACTTTATTTAAACAAATAAATTAGGTTATGAAGCAAAGAGGTTGAATGACACAAAACTTGAAAGGGACAGGCATTTTTGCCTATGATCACATTTTTTAAGACTTACATGTAGAAAATTTTAATTGCTTTTTTTAATATTTTAAATTATAGAAATATATTTATAGTTATCTTTATGCAATGCATTGCTCAAATTAATTTTAAAATTTTGATATGTCTTGAATTTCTTTTTTTTCTATGACAGCATATGTAAGCAAAATTTGAAAATGGGCCAAATTTGTGTTTCACACTATGAGTGAAATTAATCCTGGCACCTAGCAAAATTGCGTTACAGTTTTGAAATTAACATGCAGTATCTCTTCAACATATGCAAATGATTGAAAATGCAGTGCAGAACCACTGGATATAAAAAAGTGATTATAAAATGAGCAGGAAACCCATTTCTGAATATATATATTATATGTATGCATGTATATTGCTGAATAGCTGTGGTCATTCAAAGTACTTTCTTGATAGTGCTGTTTGTGTTAGCAAATGAAAATACTCGGAAGTCCTACTTAATGATGGTATGAGAGGATGATCTATCTAATCAGCTGTCATTGCCTGTGGTTCCAAAAAGGTATCTATATTAACAAGAGAGTAGCAGAAGGCCTAGGATGACAACAGCTCGAGAGGTTTATACGATAGTGCAGATTGTTATAACCATACTAATAGTTCTTCTAACTACCATTCAAAATCATTTGTAAGACCTATCTCTATTTTTCCACATAAACTAAATTAGATCCTACAATGAACCTTGCGAATTCTTGCACAGGCATAAATTAAATACCAGCACAGAGGAAGGGTGCAAAATAATCCTTTATTAAATCAAACTAATTTAACAGAAAGGCACATACTTCGTGCATTACAAAAACACCTTTCACTTGCGGTGGTAACTAAACATAGACCATAATACAAGTCAAATCTGAAAACTAAAGAGGGCAAGAACGCACTTCAGTTTACTCCTAGGAGGTGGACTCGCAGAAATCTAACCGGTGCAACACTAAACTGATAAGGCCAAGAGGCTTACTAGCGTGACCACAAAATAACAATGAAATGTGCGCTTGGCTAGCAAAACACGCTCTGAATAAACTGAGATAACCACACGTTTAAATAGCACTTAACTTTAAATTTACATCCTGGCAAGAGATGACATCTGACATTTAAATTTACAGTGGGAAGTTGAGATGTTTAGAACAGGTAAAATTTAAATAAATTTGCTATGCAAAATAAGGAAAACCCTACACATTTACCTGTACATCTGGGCATCTAGTGTTTCAAAACATCATTACAAGAAGGGGGATATAGATTTCACACTATTACTGGGATCCATTGCTGTGCTTCATTTGCTATTGTGGCCAGAACACTTGGCATGTATTTTATAGTAAATGTAACATATTCCACAATGAATAACAATTTTGTGCTGCAGGACCAGAGAATTTCTCTATGAAGGAGACCTAAACAATACTGTTCAACTTGTGTCATTTTAAAGTGGCTTATGTCCATCACATATGGCATTACCATTTAGATAACTGTCTGTGGTACTTCAATACTTTTAGCCTGAGTCACATAATTGCTTTTGTCCAGTCATGAGATTTTTCACTTGTTATATATAAGCTTATAATATAAAATAATTTGCTTTCATACTTTCTTTAATGATCTAAATATCATCATAATGAATGAGAGTTTATGAAAACAGAGACTATATTAAATAATTATACACATTTAATGTAGTTGAAGCTGTTTAAATATAGATCTGAGCAGATCAAAAAAGTCAATCACTGCATTTAATATAAAATAAAATAAATCGTAAACATCCCACAATATATTCAGCAAACATTTATTATCTGACTTGGATGTTTGCTGAATATCCACTGTAACTCTACTTCACAGACAGTGGAAGTGATGCCGAACATTCAACAACTGTTACTAGGATATGAGCACATCCCCAATATTCCATATGTGATGTAGTGCGTGATGAAAACACTGTTCTCCATATTATCTGCTACGTCTGGTAAGCACCACAAAGAATAAGATAAGATTAAACTTCTACTGCATTGTAGGTAATGCATGGCAGTCAGAATCTTAAGCTACAGGAATTATTTTGAGAAATCCATCTGTGTGGGTTGAATATGAACTGTTACTTGGGTGCGACATCCCCAATATTCCATATATGATATAGTACATGATGAAAACATTCACTATATTATCTGCTATGTCGGGTAAGGACCACAAGGAACAAGATAAGGTCAAACTCCTACTGCATTCTAGGTAATACATGGTAGTCAGAACGTTAAGACACATGAATTATAGTGGAAAATCCATCTGTATGGGCTCTATTTAAATGACCTGTTATATATTTACATATAAATATTTTATAAATATTATTTGTGGTATATGATTTCACTGTGTTATTTATCGTTTCGTCATTACATTTTCTATTTTGAGTTTATTTTTATTTAGATAAAAAACAGAGAACAGCCTTAACACATGCTGTAATGAATGGACATGCTCATGTAACATCCTATCTGTTGCGTCTTGGTGCCAATCCAAACTCTACTGACTCTTCTGGTAATACTTTAGTCCACTATGCTGCTGCTTATGGATGGTATTTTTGTATGAAACTCTTGATAGAAGCAGGAGCAAGTCTAAATCTTCCAAATGATTGGAAGGTATTTTTTTTTTTTTTTTTTTTTTATTAACTATTTTTTTTTTCTTCATGCAATATTTAAATTTGAAAATTCAAATCTTCCATTTGCTTCAAGCATTACTACAGGAAGTAACTATGTATAAATATTGCTTTCTTTACTTGTGTGCAAATGGAAGACTATTTTTAGATGTGTTCATATTAAAAGTAAAGCTATGGCTTAGAAACATATCCCTTGATGTAATGAAAGAATATGCCAGAACAGGGGGAAAGGGTGTAGAGAAGAAAAATCTGGATAGTTTGACTTGATTACCTGAAGCAAACTTTCTAAATATTTTTTACTTAATGCAGATATTTTTATATTACATAAAATTATCAGTAATGACTTTTCGTCTCCTATTTACAAAAGCATGCTGTTGTTTGAAATTGAACAATCAGTTATTGCTTACAGTAAAGTAATTAACTCCTTAGCAATTAGAATATGTACATGAATCAACAGCAAAACTAAAAAGTTTCATACTGCACTATAAACAAACTGACACTGGAGAAATGGAATAATTTTGGGAACTTATTTTTGAATGGAGCTTATCAAGAAATCTCATCCTGAATATCAGTCAAGTGATTTAATTGTTTAAAGATAGCAACAACGGTTTTTATGACACAATGGAAAAAGACTGATTTGAATTCTTAAGTTTGGGCATTTTAGCAATAATGAAGGTGCCAATATGAATAAGCTACACCAGTTGCAAAAAGATTTATGATGCTTTTCTGGATAATTTTCAAAAAAATTATATACCACGAAACAAACATAAACTTTCAGTAGACGGGTTAACAGTCGGTTAACAGACGGGTTAACTTAGAATTCCTTAGCAACTTCTTAACCCTTCCGTTTGGTGATTACATGTGTTGATGGGAATTTTGTTTTTTTAGGAATATATTTACTCAATCTGTTTGATTAAAATCTGATTTTTAGAACTATTTCTTCGTGGTTTTGATTTTTTACAGTTCTTTAACACATTCATCATGGCAGTGGTGCACCTTTATCCTACTCCCTGTGCTAATAGTTCTCCTCTAAAGTTAAATTCCTTTAAAATTTGTTTATTTTACTTGAAACAATAATAATAGGTTATGACCAATAATAATTCCTTTAATGATTTAAACTAATTTGTGTATATGGACATTTAAAAGAAAGTAATAATAAAATTTTAAAATGTTGAAAATCTTGAAGTTAAAATTTTATCTAAATTATATTTTTCAAAGCAAAGCACTACATGTAATGCAGGCTTGATGTCCATGCTTTTCACAGATATTATCATGTATTCCGTTCACGACATATCTGAATACTTACAGCATATGAAATAATTCCTAGGAACTGACGTACCCTTCTGTTCAACTAGAATTTTTAACCAAGTGGATTATTTCTTTTTGAAATCAGATCTGACTTTGCTTTCCACCAACTTTGGTATACAAATCATAGGAGTTAGAAACTACCATATCTTAATGTTGAAGCACAACCTTTCTTTACCATTTTAGTGATTTCTACAATAGTGAGTAATAGGAAAGTAGTTGATTAATTCTGTTGATGCCACACATGTGTTTGTTGTAATCTAAAGCACAGTTTGATTAGGATGTGGATTCGAAACCATGGTGAAGTTTGGTGGCAGACAGTTTTTCTATTCTTCTTGCGTGGTGTCTTCATTTTACTATAATGCTCAGTTGTAAGGACTTCTTGTTTGTGATTCTGTTTAATCACAACTATATGGTGTTTTCTGTATTAAAATTTCTGTATTTAAAGTTGTTTTAGCTTTGTGTTTATTGTTTCCTTGGGGAGATACTTTCTGTTTGACTATACAGTGTTCTACATAAATTTGTTTATTTTCAAGAAACTTATTTGGAGAGGAATATTTGTGTAAAGCACATATCCTTTGTTTAGGAATTTATCTGTCAAAGCCATTAATTACTGTGCTTTCCCCATGTCCTAATCTAGAGAGTATCCATTGTAAAACACAACTACATTCTATACATAACCTTTTGTCTTACAGTTTAATGCCATACTTATGTCGTTTTCTTGGAATGACTTTGTCGACAAAGCATTTTTGTTCAAATACTGTTAACCCGTCTACTGAAAGTTTATGTTTGTTTCGTGGTATATAATTTTTTTGAAAATTATCCAGAAAAGCATCATAAATCTTTTTGCAACTGGTGTAGCTTATTCATATTGGCACCTTCATTATTGCTAAAATGCCCAAACTTAAGAATTCAAATCAGTCTTTTTCCATTGTGTCATAAAAACCGTTGTTGCTATCTTTAAACAATTAAATCACTTGACTGATATTCAGGATGAGATTTCTTGATAAGCTCCATTCAAAAATAAGTTCCCAAAATTATTCCATTTCTCCAGTGTCAGTTTGTTTATAGTGCAGTATGAAACTTTTTAGTTTTGCTGTTGATTCATGTACATATTGCTCTGCATTGACATCTGATAGATTGATTTGCATAATTTCTTTATTGACAAGTAAACAAATATATTCTTTTGGTTATGGTGTGCCGAAGGGTTTTGCATGTTCAGGATGCATTTTGCTACTGCTGATGTTAAAAATGACATTAGTCTACACGTAATTTGTACCAGCTTTATGCCATTCATAATGCAGTATTGAAGCTACCTGAGAATCATCTGTTTCTGTTTGATTACTTTCTTAAGTATTTTCTGTTATTTTGCCAGGATCAGCATTCAGGCCTGTAAAAACGCAGATAGGGAACTAGTCTCAGTACAATGAGTAATGTCCTGCTTAAATTTTCGTGGCGTTGAGCTAGCTTCTGTAACCGCAGGAAACTTGGCAAGCAGTTTGTGAAATTTAGTATCCCTGTTCACTGCCTTGATGTGACTTTTATCTTTTGTAGTTACAGTTCCTTTGGAACGTAGTTGGTCAAGTGGGTCCACCAAACATCCTTGACGAATGTCGACCAGTAATCGAAGCTGATGAAGGAAGTCAGCTCCAATAGTAGGTTGAGAGACTGCAGCAATGGCAAAAGGCCAGTGAAATTCCTTGCATAATGATGTCTAATTTAATGAGTTTTTGGCCGAAAAGTGGACGCTTGGCGGGTGGCTGATTGCACTCTGTAATTGTGGGTGGAACTACTGAGACATCTGCTCCCGCATGAATCAGATACTTAATCAGATCAATCAAATACTTATTTATCTTAGAGGTGGTATAAATGATAAATCTCGGTTTTGTCATCAGCCGAAGAGTGAAGTGACAGCGGCACTAGTTTTCCACCTGGAAGGTGCAGGGTTTTCTGCACTTGTTAGCTTTTTCTTTGAAACGCTGATGGTGCCAGCAATGCTCTGTATTACCTCATCGTTGGCGGCTGGATGAAGAGCCTTTTTTGTTCTGCTGCTTTCGTTCGGTTGAATGCAATCTGGAATGTGTTTCAATTCAAGAAAGGTGAAATGAAATATCCATTGATAATCTTTTAGCGCAGAGTCTTCCGTTTTTACTTCAAACACTGTAACACTGTTTCTGGTGGCTACCATGATACCATCGGCTAACTTGTCACTGGAAATGGCTAAAATCTGTTGTGCATGCATTGGCAGTCGCTGCAGGAAAAGCGATTTAAAAATATCCTCACTCATTCATGAGCCAGTCTTACTTCGCATCTCCAATAAGAGGCGTGATGTTTTTTTGTTGCCAAGCTGCATACCGGAAATGAGGTCTCTGTTCCTTGGTGTCAGCATATTGCGTACAAAGACGGTTTTATATTGCCATATATGGAGCCTCGGCTGGAGGGTTAAGAAAATTTTTCTACACCTGCTAACTCTTCAGGTTGTATAGCGGAAACTATGTGGTGAAATTTCGTGCATTTTGCTGTTACACCAGCCAGCGCGAAATGGCTTTCAATCTGCCGGAACCAGATTTCTGGATTTGTTCGCCAGAAAGGAGGAGCTTTTACCACAACATGTGCTATATTTCCTGTGGCTAGATCTGTGCCGTTATTTTCCATTTTATCAAATAAATTGAATACTTCAGAAGAGAAGCTGACTCGTTGTAAGTTCTGATGAGGAAAATTTCACTCAAACCTCGTGCTTCGTTGATGGAATAAGACTCAAAATTTTTAGTCCATGTGCGTGCTGCGACACTGGAATAAGACTCAAAATTTTTAGTCCATGTGCGTGCTGCGACACTGGGTCATCAGTTTAGGTGTTTCTACTAAGTATATATTAGAATCCTTGATAAAACCTTATAAAGTAGATGCAACTTACTCATATTCAAGTTAGAATTTATTTAACACAAGTTACTTAAGCGTGCAAGAATAATATTACAGCATTTTTAAATCAAAACTTACAGAAGCATTTTACTGCGTACCTCAGAACGTCAGTTCCGGCGAGTCAGTGAACTCCGATGCCTGTCTGGTTTCTTCTCTCTTTGAGACGCATCACCACCTGTTCTCTGTAGTCTTTATCCGAGGAGCGCCTTTCAAGAAATATAGTCCGGTGAAATCGCTACAACACTTTCTCTCAAAGAAAGCTGACTCTCATGCAACTTTTTTTTTCCCCCCAATGGCTGGCAGTTACCTATAACGGTATTGGCCATTACTAAGGCCTGAAGTGCTGGCCATTTTATTGTGAAGCCATCAAATAGGCTGCCACCGCTACCTCCTATTGAAGGAACAGACAATTTTATATCCATGCCTTCTGAGGGATTTGAACCTGGGTTCTTTGGTATCACAGTCAGGCTCCCCTAACCACTATACTGTCTGTGCAGCTCTCATGAAACATAGCAAGAGCTACAAATAATTTTTTTTAAGTGAAAAGTTTTTATTCTGATATTGCAACAAGTTTTGGGGAAATTTAGATAATTGTTTTTTGTATGAATTTATAGCAATTTAAGAAGGTTTCCTTTTTTCAGTGTTTAATTAGATTTTTCTGTGTAGCACACTATCATTGTTCAGAAAATAATCTTAAGTAAACTGTATCTGGAATGTTAACTGAAGTTTGAGGTAGAGAGGCTCCATTATATTTATGTGTATAAAGTTAAGAAATAAATAAATAAAATACCCATTAATTTGATTATCAAAAATTAAATGCAGTAGGCAGATTTAATTAGGTTTTTTTTTTTTTTTTTTTTTTTTTATTATTATTATTTTCTGAAATGCAAAACTGAAGTAAAATAAAATTTCTTAAAAAAAGTGTTTTCTTTGAATATTACCTCTACTGGTATATAAAAGTTCTAGAAAGATAAGAGAGTTTCTGTGACTGTGTCTAATTTCCTTTTTTTTTTCCCCTCCTCACACAGATTACACCACTCAGCTTAGCCTTTCTGAAAGGTCATATGGGTTTAGTAGACTTCCTAGTAGAACAGCCAGGCATTGATATAAATGTAGATGTAAATAATGAAAGTGGTAAGCTATGTCTCATTCTATCTCTTTTCTGTAAATGTTTTGTTCTTATGTAATGCTCTTCTGTTATGTAAAAAGCTCTTTTCTGTAAATGTTAAAAAAACAAAGGCAGCATTTTTGGCTTATTCTTCTATGGACTGCAAATGTGTAAAATTTCTAGAGTAGAACATAATTCAAAGAATGTTGGTTTGGTTTGTGTAATTATGGCGAAACCTCGAGGGTTATCTGCCTAAGGGCAGGGATGCCTTCGTGGAGGATTTTCTAAGGGCAACTGGCTTGTATACACGTTACACATGGAGAAAACCACGAAAACGTTCATGCAGCCAGCCCATTCGTGGGTTTTGAACCTCGGACCGAACTACCAGTGTTCAGTGACTTTACCGCTCGGCCGCTGGTGGGCTCAAAGAATGTTGAGGCAGTAGCCTGTATATGGGGCATTTACAGGTTGTGTGCCAACTCTGCATTTCTGATAGCCTTTGCATGTAAATGTGTGTTTTATTAATCTGTCATATTGTGTGCTAGTGAGTGTTAATTTAGCTGTCTTGTTGTTCAGAGTTAATTAATTGTCCTTATGGGCAATGTGGTTTGTAACGTTTTAAAGAAATGAAAATCTGAAACAATATGCATATGAATTGTGTTACTGATGTGCTAGTTTTTTTTTTTTTTTTTTTTTTTTTTTTTTTTTTTTATATATGCTTTACAGTTCTATAACAAATCATTGAAGCTAAACTCGTTTACTGTAAATTTTAGATACTAACTGAATTATTCATCCATTACAAGTTGTAGATAAAAGTGGGCCTAAATCTTCTTCAATTTAAATACATCAGTCAAAGCTTTATCTATGTACTGTTTATAGCAAGTCTCTTGGCTTTTAGTTTCATTAGTACATGGCAAAACCTGCTCTAATGCCACCTAAAATATAATAATATTTCTTATATTATAGAATTAGGTTGAGTTCCAAGTGACCCTAGACTTTACACTGACAGCCTGATAAGATAGTTAAATGAAACATTAGGTTGTGGCTCATCTCTAAAAAACAATTCCGTATGTTAACTCTCAGAATAGGCTTTCATAAGTTATATATATAGGTTTTAAAAAATCTTGCTTTTATTGTTATTTATTTAATTTTAGTTACAATCGGAAACATAGAAACAAAATGCTGTGTTGATGAAACGTAAAAAAAAGGGGGGTGTTATTATTCAAAGGTATTTTTACTTCTTTACTTCGCTTTGTCATTTTGTCTCTCAACTTATAATTCTAAAATGTTTTCGTATTCCACAACTATTTTTGATAAAGGATTGATTTAAGAAACAGTATTCAGCATCCAGATTTCTTTGCTTAATATTTGTGTTCAACAGAATCACTGACAAATGTGTGTGTAATTATTCACCCTAACCTAAGCCTAATGTGAAAGTATTCCATGGTTTCAATTAATTGTTTCTTCTGACTAATTACATAATAGTATATAAGTTCCAGTATGTATAATTTAGAATCTTCTGAACTCAAGTCATTGAAATAATTCAGCATTTTTTAAATATGAAAAATATAGCATATTACTTGTTAATTAAAATGTTAATGCGGAATATTTGTCCCCCCCCCCAAAAAAAGAAAGAGAATGTTTGCTGGTTTGGGTATTAATTGTATCTAAACATGCTGATCTTTGGCTTTCTGCTGATTAATAACAGAGTTCTGAATTAGTTTAAAAACCAATATTAAAAAAAATAAAAATAAACTATTCTAAAATTCGATAATTTGTTTGAATTTTAGAATTTTTCTTTTCTCTGTGAAAAGATAGACTTGTTAATATTTAATAATTTGGAATTTCAGTGACGGTTGATATGGCACAGCTTTGTGTGCAAATACAAAGAATATATTGATTGTGATAATTTGAATTTGCAACTTAAATTCATTTCTTTTGATGAATGAATGACAGTCATTAGTTTTATGCTCTGGGTGAGAAGTTTTAACTTTTTGATTACTTGGCTGCAATTGATTCTCATTGAAAGAATGTGCTTTGAAAGCATTTTCATCCATTTTCCTTGCAGTATGTTGAATGACAGCAAAGCATGCCTTTAGGAGACATTCAACTCTTTTTAATGAGTCATTCTGCTGTACCCTGACATTCAAGGAAGTAAAATGCTTTTGCCGAGGGAGACAAGATTTCACTAGTTTGTGCACTTAACACATCTAAATATAAAGTTTTGATTTTTACTTTTTTATCTATTTACTAAGTCCTATATTCCCATATTAATTTAGAGTCATGGGATGGTAGACCAAAATTTCATTTAAGCAGTTTCCTTTTTTTTTGAGTATAAATAATGCATAAGCTAATAAATAATCCAGTGAACTATTGACAGTATTATTTCCTCTGCTGGCAGCTTTGCTTCCTTTATGTACAGCAGAAATCCAATTAAAATGAATTTTTCCTACGCAAATTTTACAGAATACATCCATTTCATCTCCAGGATTTGAACTTGAACCCTTTGATACTGCAGCAGGCCTCCCTAACCACACTATACCATCTGGGCGGCATTATTATTATTATCAGTACCCTTATATTGAGTTTTTTTTCGGGGGGGGGAAGATTATAATGTATAAGATTCAGAAAAATTAAAAATGTTCATCCTAGAGGATATTTTTTGTTTTGGAAATGCAAATTACAATTATTTCATTATTTAATACTTCATTAACAGTAATAATCGTCTGGCATTGCTGAAAGCAAGTGTCAAATGGTGTGAGGTGTATGAATTATTGAATAAATCATGAATTTTAATTCAGTTTTTATGCTTCCCCCATCTCCAAGAACTTCTGTCAGCTTTTTAATTGCATATCTGTTCTTTAATCAGAAAATTTTTTCTGTAGATTTTAAGAATTTTAAATACCGACATTTTAATATCATAAGTCTGTTTAGACTTACCATTTTTAAAATAATGAAAATTTTTAATTTTCAATTAAGATTTTTGAATAATTTTTAATTTATTGCAGCATAAGTTGTAAAATTTTTTTAAGAAACAAGATTGGTGTATGCAAGTGTCATAAACCAGAATGCCAGTTTTTTTTTTTTTTTTTTTTTTTTTTTTTTAAAGTTACTAACATGTCGTTTAAAACTAGAACAGTGTCATATTTTATTGAAATATTTTGTACAGGTCTTGAGACTGAAACTTGGTTAGCAGCCCGATTGCAGCTGTGATTGTTATAAATAATTCAAAACTACTTTTTACATTTTAAAATCCTTCATAAAATAGTGTTGCATTTTTGTTATATTTCATCAGGCTTTCTTTTATAATAATTTTTGTTCGCCTAAAAATTGTATTCATGTGTTCTGAGGGGGGGGGAAGATACGAACATTTGGTTTTATATAAAAATTATTTTAAATAGTTCTTTAGCTTAAACATATATATATTTTTTTCATGTTATTGGAATAGTTTCTCAATTTTAATTTTTGTTTCAGGAATGACATTAGTTATGCAAGCCTTAAGGTCAAAAATAAACCATTCAATGTTGGAAAGAATTCATTTCTTGGTAGTTAAGCAAAAGTCTGATTGTACTAAAGTTGATTTCATGGGTAATAATGCAGTGAGTATTTAGTTTTCATTAATACTTTTACAGAATTGCCAGCCCTATTGACAAAACCAGGAAACTCCCCCCCTTTTTTTATTACACCTTCCCTTGATAAATCTCCAATCTGTCAGTTTTTAAAATACCTTAGTCTAGATCACTTCTTTCAAATGTAAATTAAGAAGGAATATTGGCAACTGACTGTTTAAGGAAATGAAATGCTACAAGGAAAATTTTAATGACAAGTTTTAAAAAAAAAATCTAAAGCAAGGAATGATATTGTCATCTTTTAAATTTAATCTATGCTAATTGAATTTTTTTTCCCCATGTGGTCTTTGGAAGACTTAATGTGGTTAATTTTTATTCAATATAAAGTGTTTTAAAATGTTACAAAGATTTATACAGTATTTTATATAGACTTAACTAACATCTAATTTGTAAACTTACGTGTTTAATTTTGCAGATGATTTGTAAGTGGTACATTGTTAACTTGTTTCCAAAATTATGTACAGATGAAGTCTTAATTTGATTTTATTATCTTAAAACAGTTTGATTAAAAAAAATAAAAAAAAAAGTTTCTTCCTTTCTTCAGTTTTCATGTGGATAAATGTTTAGAGGATAAAAGGGAGAAATCAAATGAAATTAGTCAAAGACCAAGCTTAATATCTTATTTGCCATTCTAAATTTAATTGAATATGTTTTCCATTAAAACTGTCCTATAATTAATTTAATAAACTGGTTTATACATTTGACTTTAAAACAAATATGTCAGTTTGGAATAGTTTTGAAATTGATTGATACAGAAACCTCTCGCAGTTTTTAATATTTTGAGGTTCGCGTGTTGCCTTTATTTTGTGATAGCTTATATTTGTCATTCAAAATGCAATTAGGTATCTACATTTAATGAAATAATTTTTTTTTTTTTTTTTTTTTTTTTTAAATCTGGCATGCACAGGTCATTATAGTTTTTTAGTGTGCTGGCTGCTGTTACAGTTTCTAACTAACAGTTCACTTTTAAGCCTGGTTTTCAGTAAGAAGTAGAAAATAATTCAAAATTGAAGTTTTATCTGTTCGTTGTTATGGAAAATGACTTAATTTTTGCATAATTTATTGTATACGTAATACGAATATGAGACTTTTTATTAGGAAATACCTTTTGCAAAAAATGTATGCTTCACTTTACTACAATAAATGCAGACAATTCTGAGTTACACTTTTTTATGTTTCTGAGAAAAGGATAATGCAAAATGTGATTGTTGAGATGTTTTATAATCTATAAGAAAATATAAATTTTATAATCTATAAGAAAATATAAAGTAAAAGTATTTTGTCTCTGTAACATATTTTGTTTTAAACTTAATTCGGTTTTTTTAGACAGTTAATTTTGATTTTAAATTTCATAAATAATGATTTATTACTGCTTTTAAAATGTGCTGAGCTAATTTTATATCAAAAAGTAATGAGAAAAATGCCTTTGTCAAAAATAATGTTTTTCATGTAGTGTATGTTTTTTAGTTTCACCATTTGGTTTGTGCTGAAGTAGCTGAAGTTCAGTTTGAGGCAAAGGTAAGTTGAATACCGTCCATTTGTATTTCAGATTCGGATATTGCTTTGCTGTGGCTGACTGTGCCATCTTTAATTTAATACATTACAATTTTTTATGGCTTTGGAAGGTTCAGTAACTATAATAAATGTGTGTTTAATATTTATAATTTTAATGCTGTTTTATGGTCATCTTGTATTGCAGTTTATTAAATAATATAAGTTTTTTTTTATAAATAAATGTTATTTTTAATCATACATGATTAAAGATCTCACCAATTAAATATTGAGTATTTTATTATTATTATTAGATGGCTGTATGTTTTTTTAAATTTTCCTTCTTAATTTCTTATCTTTTGCCGTATAGAAATGGAAATATTTTTCGCATAAAATCTTTGATATTTTTATATTACTTAAAACATTTTTAAATATATAATCCCTTAAATTTTTAAGCGTCTAAAATTTTTAAAGAATTAAAATTTCTTTGCCATTAAAATTTGTCACACAAACCATATTCAGCCTTGCCAATGCTTATAATTTCATACATTTTTTTGCCCTTTTAATTTTTAGGACTGTAATTGAACATTTGGCATCTATCTTTCCTAAAAAAATATTTAGATGATTTGAATAGTGTAAAACAAATGTATTTGTGTTTTCTGTGTTATGAGCTACAAAACTAAATTTTCAGTTTTTGTTTCTATCAAAATTTGAGTTTTCCTATATTAAGTATGTTGCATTTGATATGTTTTTATTGTACATTGTGTATTAGACTATTATATCATTTTGTATTACACAATAACTATTATTATATAATACAATAACTAATTTTACCTAACTTTAGAAAAAATTGCTTAGTTCATATGTTGCTAACTTGTTATTAGTCAGGTAATCTGATATCATGCAGTAGATTAATAATGTTGTTAACTTCACCTTACTATTTTATTAGCTGTTCTTTATATTCATCAGACACATGCATTTCATTGGGATACATTGTCTTTGTTGGGGAAATGTAAATTCACAGGTATAATTTGCCACTGGAGTATTATTATATGATTTGAGACAATGCTGCAGTTTGTAATTAATCTTGTCTAGAATACACATTAAAAACTATCTAGTAAAGCACGTTCACAACCGTATTAAAAATGAATACATTATTCATGTGAAGATAAGAAACAATATATGGAGGCTATTAAAACTTGGGATAAAATTTGTTTGTCAAAACTGTGTCTGGTAACTGTGGTTCTAATTAGCAAATAATTAAAGAAGTTATTTGATTGATGTTGCTAAAATTATGGAAGAAATGTGTCCTAAAAGATGCTCAAAATGTGTTTGATATTTTACCTACAATATAATATTATATATTAAATTGTATATATTATTAAAACTAATTATAATCTGCAAAGCGGGTAGAAAACTATGGGCTTAGGGTTGTCAGAAAGTGGTAGGAATAGGCAGATGTCATAGATTGAGTGAGAACATTCTAGAATGCATTCTTAGCAGTTTTCTTAGGCACATTCTTGAAGATGGGTTAAAGTTATATATACCTAGCGTGAGAGCAATCGTCTGAGTTGGAAGTTTGGCTTTGGCATGAACTGTCTTCACTGTTATACCCCGAAGGCTGTGTTTCTGATAATTTCTGCATGTTTGTCATGGTTTTTGGAGGAGTGTAAACATATGTTTAGAAATTTCCTGTGTACTAGTGCTTACTAGTGAATAAACTGGGTTTTGTTTCTTCATCAAGTGTCATATCCACTGTCTTCATAAATTATTCCATATCCACGAACACGTAGAATGCAATAATGTTATTATAATAAATTATATATTAATAATAATATATATTTTAAAATTTTAATAGCTGAGTATTTTTCATTTGTAAGCTTGGCAAGTCTGTATATTGTTGACAGATTTTTTAATTCATAATTGCATATGTTTTGTATTTTTTAAAAGTAAATATATTCCTTAATTTTTCATTAAAAAGTTGAATATTGCAACTTAAGAAGACTATTTGATAAACTTTTAATGTTATATTTAGCTAGTTTTAGATCATAATGTAATGTTATGTCACTGAACCTGTGAAATCAATTTCATGTATTTTGGATCAGTTTTTAAAATGTTGAAGGTTTAATTTCACACAATATTAAAATCTCACATTTGAAAAGAAACTGGTTTAAACTTTTTTTCCCGTAAATTTAATATGTTCCTTTTTTTTTATTTTTTCTATGTAGATAATTGATAGTTTTTGCAAGTATGTAATTTTGACCTTAATTTTAATTTTGTGGCTAAAGCTGGTCATGCATTAGCATTTGTTTGCAGCATTATTTATGTCGCTCTTTGTTTTGTTTTACTGAACCTCCCAATCCAAAATCATTAGAAACATTATCGTCGCACACTCATTAAAAATTTTCCCCACCCTCCTTTGCATTGCACTTCCATCATCCATTTCCCTGCATTATCTCACTTGCCTCGCTAAAGATGGATTACAATGAGGATAAAAGTGATGAGGATTCCAATGAAGATCCTGAGATGGTCGAGACGATCAAAACAAAGACTGTGGAGAAACAGTTGTTTAAGGAAGAAGTAGGTGTTCATTTTTTGAATAAAGAACTTCATCATTTCATTATCACTCTGTGAAAAACAATCCTTCATTATTATTGTTGCTTTTGTGTTGCTTGCTTTGTTTTAGTTTCTTTTGGTTTGTTTATTGTTACCCTTTCAAGCAATATAATTATCATTTATTCCTCTCAAATGCATGTGTTTTGTATTCTATTGGATGCGTATGAATGGAATATAACCTAGGAGTTATTGTATTAATTATTTTGTAATTTTAAAAGATAAGCTGAAATATCATGTTTATTTACAGCACGGAACAAAACTTATGCACTGATTTCTTGCAGTACTGTTTCTTATTATTATTTGCATGTTTGTGAAAATTACCAAGTACTTTATGTATTAATTGAACAGATTGTCATGCATGGTATATAATATCTTGGTGACTTAAGCACGAATATCAATGTGTACTGTTGAAAATTGTGGATTGTTTTAAAATATATGACATGCTCCCAAAAGAGGCAAAGATCTGCATTATTTTATATCCTGGATTTTAATTTTTTTTTAAATGTCTTATACAGTTAATGCTAGAAATTTAAAAAAAAAATCCTGTTGGTTTGAAATATAATTTTGATTTCTTTTAGCATGCTGCGGCATTTTGCCCTAATACGTTTCATTTCTTTGTGTGTTTATACATATATTTATATATATAAGCAGAACTTAATCTGCAAATATTAATATATAAGCTAAAAGCAATTATCATGAAGACTTATCCAGAACAATACAATAAATTGTGTAGGGAAATAAAACTTTTATTATTATTATTATTATTATTATTTTGTTATAAAAAGAATTCATTTTTGTTCACTAATATTCTGACTGCTTACAGGATAGTTACTATAGTTTGCAATTATTTTCTGAATTCTAAAATCAGATATAAATTTATTGCTGAAATTGAGTTGGTGATAGAACATAATTATAACAATATATAGGGGAAGTTGCTATGATTTAGCATATATTTTCCAAAGGGGAAAAAAGTTTTAAGTTTAGATTACTTTACTAGTGATGTAAATGTTTATCGTAAATTTACTTTACTGTGGTAAGCAATTAACTTTCTAAAAAATAATTAAAACCTGTGGATTTATTTTTTCCTCTCTTTTGTATGATTTTTATTTTAAGACCCTTTGTAATCATCATTGTATTTAACAACACTTCTGGGGATCATTAATTTTTACCCTTTTCCTTATATATGGAAAAAAATTAAATTTTATGCTTAAAAACTGCTGTTAAATTTTTTAGTAATATCTTAACAATTGCTGGTTTTTGACTTTACAATAAATATTTAAAAAAGTAAGTATGTAGGCATCCGCCCTTTTATCTATTAACTAAGTGTGGAGGAACCTAGTGAACTACTAAGGCAAATAATTACTTAATAATAAATAAGTCCAGAAATAGAAATGTAATACTCAAGAAAAGTTAATTACCCTTTTTTGCTCAAAATAAGGATGTACAAATGGTCCCTTTCTCAGGGCGAACAACAAAGCCTCGTCTTTGGCTTCACCTCAATGTTAATAAAAAAGTGACTAACTAAGAGATTTAGTCAAAGCTAACACAATTTCTAACCAGTTTGCCCCTAATATTAAATTAGCTAGTGAAGCTATAGTAAGTGCACATAATACGGGCGAGCGTAGTAACAGCTTAGAGAGATGTAGCCCAAAGGCAAGCACGCACTGTTCAGGAAATCTAATTCTCTCTGTCGAAGTCAGTGAACTCTACTACTCATTTACATTTAACATGATTTTAAAACTCATTCTGGTAAAGAATTGTATGCTGAAATTAGAAGAGACTGGAAAGGAGCTTTAACTTAAAAATAACTCTTAAAAACTTACTATAAACCTTGCATCTTTCGCTATCAGAATTTAAATACTCGAAGAAAAAAAAAAAGGTCTCACAATGACCTTGTTTAAGAGTTTAAATTTTAGAAAATTTACTCACACTTCAAAGTTTAACTTCTAAAACTCTGCTTAATTCAATCTCATTATTGAATTCTCTCTTTTATGGCCAACTTTACAAATGATGTAAAGCTAAGTTAAAACTAAGAAAAAATAATTTTAAAAACATTCTTGCTTAGCACATATATTAGTCTTATATTTAGATTGGTCTTTCCAAAATATCTGGAAAGAAAAGGCATTAGTATTTGTTTCTAAGAAAAATTTCTATTTTCCCTTCCAAATACATTTTATTGCATTTATTTGGCCCTCAAACAGATTTCATTCATACACATTTTAACTCATTCCCTCCTGACGCCTGGAGAAATTTGTTCTGATATGAACTTAGTATGTCAGTGTTGTGTTACCACAAATCATCGCTACAAACTAACATCTGTGAATTGTTAGAATTTGACATACAAGATCTAAAGGAGTCCCTAAATACAAAACTGCACCTAATGTACTAAAGAGAGCTTGATTTAAACTTTTAAGTGTTGGCCGGAGAGACATTCATTCTGTACTTTCTTTCCAATTGTTCATTTAAAGAAAGTGTAACTTTAAAGCACTTTTACAACCAACATTTAAATTTTTTACATTCGACACAGCTTTTCCACATATAACATATATAAAGTTTTAAATTCACTTTGCATCACAAATTACATAGTTGCTATACATAATTTATAATCTTTTCCTAAAATTTAACTTTAAGTTCAATTAACAACAATTTACATCATTATTTCAAGTACTTCTGACTAAAATATATTTTCAAATATACTTTCTTGCAAATTCAAAATCCTTGCTTTTGACAGCATTTAGCAACTTTGAACAACACTTCCAGGATCCTGCAAAAGATCTTTTAAAACTTCAGAGTCAGTTTCAACTATAATAGTGTTTAATTTGGTCAATGGTAGCAACTATTTCCTGGCCATTTGTAGTCTAAATAAACTGTTGCATATTTGATCCTTTCAATAGCAAAAAGCCCCTCAAACATGGGTTTGAATTTTGCAACTCTATTTTCTGGTACAGATAATAAAAAATGCTTGATTTTCAAGACATTTTGACCCACAGAATATTCTACCTCCCGTCTATTCGTGTCATTATAGACTTTCTGCCTCGCTACAGCAGAATTTTTGATTGCTTCATTAATGATTTCTTGAATGTCCTTTAACTTAAATTCGTCTTCCCTTTGCTGCACAAAAAAGTTTATTTAAGGGAGTTTAAATTTTCCTCCTTAAAAAGTGTTCTACGGGGGTCTTTTTCATAGTATCATGCTTTGCTATTCTTAAAGCAAAGCCTAATTCATTGATGTGGCTATCTTAACGGTCATGATAATTTTTAACGTATTCCCGAATAATTTTAACAATATTCTTGTTTACAATTTCCGCAATATTTGATTGTGGCATGTATGGTACCATTTTTAGATGGCGTATGCCAAATCCTGTTCAAAGGTTTTTAAATAAATAAGTGACTAACAAATTGTTTCGCATTATTGGATATTACTTTAACTGGGGCCCTGTATTTTAAAATATATTTATTTAAGAACGAATGTGATACTGTTTTTGCTGATGCTTGTTCAAGGAGAATTATTTCCACCATGAAGTAATTAATGATAGTTTAGAGATATTTGTTTTTATTTAATCTTATTGTAGGATAAGGTCAGAGGAAATCAGTGCCAACTACTTTATATGCAAAAGTGGTTTCTATATTATTTAATTACCTGCCTGGGTTATAATTAATGTCATTGATTAATTGGCACATGTGACATGACCTTACATATGCCATTACCACCCTCTGTAACTGTGGAAAATAAACTGCTTTGCGGACCCTTTGCAAGATTTTCCTGGTACCTAAGTGACCCCAAATGGGCGAATCATTCAGCTTCTATAAAATATTTATCCATAGCCTTGCTGGAATCGCAGGCCGGTATTCTAGATTATCGTTAGTTATTTTCATATAAAATAGCAATTTATCAATGACTTCATAGTGGGCTGCCATGTTCCGAATAGCTGTTATGTCCACATACTAGAAATTTTCAGGGACTTCAAGGTATGCATAAATACCCTTGAATTCAGTATCCGTTTTCAGTTTGGAAATAATAGTTTCATGGGACTCAGTTATTCTCAAAGTCAGCATTATACATCTGACTGTATTGCCCTCTTCGTCAGTCTTAATTTTTGATAAGGCATCCGCGACTACAGTTTCGTTCCCCGGTGTATGTTTTATAATTAGGTTAAACTCCTGTAGCTTTAGCATCCAACATATAAGCCACAGTGAAAGATTTTTCTCCGAATAAAAGCGACCAAGGTCTGAGTAGACTGTTACGTGGCACTTCCAAAGTAAACTCTGAATTTCTGGACTGCTAGTAGGACAGTTTTTCTTTCTGTTGTGGTGCAGTTCTGTCGAGTTTGATTCAACGTTTTACTAAAAAATTGCAATTGGCTGCCCATTTTGGAAGAAGACATTTGTGAAATTAGTGGCATCTGCTGCAATTTCTAAATTTTGGTCCCCTTCCAGGAACTTGAGAACTGGGATGTTAATCAATGCGTGCTCTAACTCTTTGAACGGTTACAGTCGAAAACATCGCGGACAAAAACGTCGCGGAGAAAAAGCAGCGCAAGGCAAAAATGTCATGCTACAAAATATCGTGGGAGAAAACATCGCAGTTCTAAAACATCGTCGCCGAAAATAAAGCGGTTAAAAAACTTCGCAGTTTAAAAACATCGTCGTCGAAAATATCGTGGTAAAAAATAAAGTATCTACAAATCATCGCATGACGATAACATCGCAGACATGCTTCTTTCAGGCTTTAATAACTGTAAATGGATATTCCCATAATGATTTGTGATCGCAAGATGGAAAGAAGGATAATTTTTACTTTCATACTTTTTATTAACTAATAATTTTTGCTGAGAAAATAAGAATGAAACTTAAGCATAGAACATTAATGCAACTTATAGCACTTAATAGAATTTTAAACCGACATAGTTAACTAACAAGGCCATTAATAAATCATTTTTATAAAGTTTTTACTGGTAATTTTTCATGAAAAGTATAATCTATAATTTGCATTTAATTTTTTATGCTTAAGTTTCCTTCTTACTTTTTCAGCAAACTTTTATTAGTTAATAAAATATGTGAAAATAAAAATTATCCTTCTTTACATACTGCGCTCACAAATCATTATGGGAATATCCATTTACAATAATTAAAACCTGAAAAAAGCATGTCTGCGAAGTTATCGTCATGCGATTTGTATATACTTTATTTTTTACCACGATATTTTCGATGACGATGTTTTTAAACTGCAAAGTTTTTTAACCGCTTTATTTTCGACAACGATGTTTTGTAGCACGATGTTTTGTATCACGACGTTTTCGCCTTGTGTTGTTTTCGTCTGCGATGTTTTTGCCGCAATGTTATCGGCGGACACCTCTTTGAACACAGTAATCGCCTCTGTGGTCCACGTGAATGTAGTGTTTCTTTCTGTTTGAAAACCAACAAGGGTTCAACTATTTTCGCAAAGTATTTGATGAATTCTCTATAATATGAGCACATGCCCAAAAAGGATGGTAATTTTTTGGCGGTATTAGGACATGGGTAACTCTTAATTGCTAATATTTTAGAATTTTCGGTCTCTCAATTCCTTTTTTCAAGATTGTATACCCGAGATATCTCAGTTATGTTGCCGCAAATTTGCATTTATTCAGATTCACCGTGAGGCTGGCTTCATTTAATAATGTGAAATCTTGCTCCAGATGTTTAGTATGTTTGTCTATCATTTCGCTCGTCACAGTATCATCTAAATAGTACTTTTGCATAAGACGGGTCTTAATACGATAGCCATGACATTCTGGAATGTAACTTGAGCTCCTCTTAAGCCAGACAGCATTCCGAGAAAGGCATACACTCTTGACTTCATTATACGAGGGTTGGAACTTTAATAGTGGCAACTATTTATTTACAAGTAACACAAAAGTGATTCATGTCACCATGTTTTACAGTCCTTCAATATAGTCGCCAGCATTGTGTACAACCCGTTTTCAACGATGTGGAAGTCTCAGAATACCTGTAGCAGCGCCTGTTTTGTTGATAGTTTGAATGGATTGGTCTACTGCCGCAAGAATCTCAGGAACAGTTTGGAAGCGAGTGCCACGAAGTGGCTCCTTCATCTTAGGAATTAAGTCATAGTCACAAGGGCTTAGATCTGGAGAGTATGGTGGATGGTAAAGCACTCCCCAGCACCATCACTTGAACAAATCAGTCACAGCTTGCGCTGCATGCGGCCGAGCATTGTCATGCAAAATGAGAGGAGCATTCTGCAGAAAGTGTCGTCGTTTTTATCTCAAAGCTGGTCGGAGATTGTGCTCCAAAAACTAGCAGTAATACTGTGCAGTGACGGTCTGCTGTGGGGGAACGGTATGCGTTAGGATGACACCATCACAGTCGTACACGAGAATCACCATAACTTTCACATTGCTGGAGTTTTGACGAAATTGCAAACGTCGTGTTGACGCCATTCGTTTGATTGGCGTTTCAGTTCTGGATGGTACGATCAGGCCGAAGTCTCATCCAGCATAATGATATGGCGTAAAAAAGCATCTCCTTCGCGCTCATAGTGCTCCAGGTGGGTTCGGGCAGCATTGTATCATAGCCATTTCTGCTTTTCCGTCAATTGATGTGGAACCCACCGTGAAGCAATTTTTCTCATGAACAGCCATTCCTTCAGAATGTGCAGCACAGTCGTATGCACTAATCCTGTTTATCCGGCCAGCTGACATATCGTTTGGCGGCGATCACTGGCCATTAGTGCGGCAACAGCCTGCACGTCTGCATCGCTGACACTCAAGACGACTTGGCCGCAGCATGTCTGCCACGTTTTGGAGTCCTTCATTGAATGCTTTCACCCATATTGCAATTCTGTAAAGCAATGCAGATTCCCCGCAAGCCACTTGAAGCCCTTGATGACACTGTCGTGCTGTACGACCTCTGGCACATTCAATTCTTATCCAACATCATCGTTCTTGTTTTGAAAACATCCTGCCAACACTTACTTTAGACCGCGAGCTAATACAAGGATCCATTCTTCTCGTCACTCCACATGCGCATGACGTAACCAGGACGAGTCTTTTTGCTGAGAGGTAAGGTAAATATGTAGTTTACATGTGGTATACGCGATATTCTTTGGTTTTGTTGCGTAGCGTTTTTTCAGCTGTGTTGCCACTATTAAAGTTCCAACCCTCGTAAAAGCTGTTTTCTGGCCAAGTCCTCAGGTGTTACTGCAAGTTGAAAGTAACCTGATGTCAGGTTTAGTGTAATCATATGCTTAGTAGATCAGATTTTTCTAATTATTTCATCAGTTATCGAGAGGGGATACTCGGGATATTTATACTATTCACTTTACAGTAATCAACGGCGAACCTCCATGAATTCGGATCTGACAATGGGAGGCTGTTTTTCTTTCTACATAAAACTACTGGTCGTAGGAGCTGCTACTCGCCACAATTATTTTATTCTCCAGCATTTTCTTAATATGCTGTTATAATATCTCCTCCTTTACTTGGTCATACTGATACGGCTTAGACTGGACTGGGGGGGGCATGTCCAGAATTAATTTCATTCTGCTTAGCCTGATAGAAACCATATTTCTCATCGAACAATTTGCCAAAAAAAAAAAGGTCCAGAAGATACTCACAGGAAACCAAATTAGGTCATACCATCTTCATTACATCCAGTTTTTTGAGCCTGAGGTTTATCCACTCCGGAGGATGTTTGCTACATGGTCACATTTTCCTGCATCTATATTGTTCATGGATGAAGGTTACTTCACACATGAGGAAGCTTTCAATGAGCATAACGCCCGTGGCTTTGGAAAACCCTCATTGTATGCAACCATGTGCAGCTCAAGACCATTTCTTGTTCAATGTTTAGGTTGGCATTCTTGGAGACTACTTCATTGGACCGTACCTTTTGCCCAGTCCTTTTGGACGGTAGGACATACCTGATCTTTTTGCAACATGTCCTGCCCAATCTTCTTGGTGCAGCACATATTCCTCCGTCGTTGTGGCGCTCCAGCATGTCCTTGTGGTATCAGCATGATGGCACTCGTCCACATAACATGGTTGACATCTATGACTCCTCGATGTAACCTTTGGACAGTGGTGAATAGGTCATGGCGGCCTTGTTAATTGGTCTACTGGGCCTATCGCGCATGAACTTCTTTTGGGGTCACATGAAGAGTTTGGTGTATGAGACACCCGTATCTTCAGTTCGACCTCATTGCTTGAAGATCCGTAGCTCCAGGGAGGATACGTGACATGCCAAGAATCTTCCAGAATGTAAGGAATTCCACGCAGTGCTGCTGTCAGGCGTGCCACATGGCTTCTGGTCATAATTTCGGACACCTATTGTGGTACAACCTTTCAGTAAAATGTTTTCTGTCCCATTAATGTGTTGCTGTTTCTGTTTTTTTTCTCTGCTTCTTTGTATAGCTCGCAACTATGGCATTTTTGACTTTGCATTCTTATGTGACTCCGAGTCATATCTGTACTCCTACACAATTAATTCAACTGTTTATTTAAAAGATTAAAATAAATTTAAAATAATAAATAATAAATTTTTTAGACTAGAATATTTAAAAAAAGGGGGAAAAGTGCTGCAGTATTCTCACTAGTTATCTTTTGTTGAATTTCATAAATAAGCTAGAGTCTCTAATTTATAGGATACTGAGCATGATAAAATCAAATTTAAATAGGTGACATCATGTTAGTAGCATTTGATTATAAATAGTTTTGCAAAATTTTTTATGAAAATGTCAGCGTTTTTTATTATTATTTTTAATCCACGTTTTCCGTTAGGCTCAACAAGAACATGATGCTTTAATTCAAGAAATAACTAAATTGCTCCTAGATCATGGATGTGATCCTATGGTGAAAAATAAGGAAGGAGAATCACCGTTCAATCTTGCTGTAAAAGAGGTTTGTAATTGCAACATCAGATATTTTTTTATTGTCTTCTTTTTCTGTATTTATATACTCCAGAAATATTTAATTTCCCTTTTTTTTATTAGGGTTGTCTTCTTTTGGTGAAAATGTTCCTGGATGCTGGTTGTGAATTAAATCTGGATGTTAGTCAGTCTGGTGATAATATTCTACATTATCTAGTTACTCATGCTCGAAACAGAAAAGTGGAGCCAATGCTGCAAGCCATATTAAATGCTGTAAGAAATTAAAATATATTAAATACCATATGTTTTTATCATTGTTACACTTTTATCTTTTTATATTTGGAAGCGATTAAATCTTTCATAGTAAACTTCATATTGAAGAATAATCCATCCATTCATGAGTTCTAATTTTTCTATGATGTTAGTTTTAATAAGTTTCATTGTATTATAATTTTTAGTTTGTGTGAGACATTCCATGATTAAAAACCAGATGTCTTATTTGAAGTTCTAATTCATATTTTCTGTGTGAAAGACATATTTTATGTATAAAAGTGCATATAAAAAAGAAAAAAAATATCTGCAGAAGTTGTATATTTTTATTTTGTAAAATAGCATGCAGCATTTTTAACAAAATCATTGAAACATAAAATTTCGGCCCTTTAGAAATGCAGTAATCCAGAAACAACACCACACCAGCTACTTTGTCAAATGGCCAAGATGTATAATAAAAATGGACACACCCCTCTTCTTCAAACTCTCAGTACTTTAGGAAGCTGTGTAAGTATAGTGATTAAGATGCATTCTTAAAGTATATTAGCTGTGTTCAAACAAAACTTTACATATTAATACTTGATTTACTTTCTTCTTGGTTAATTGAAAAAATTATAGTAATATTGAATTAAAAGAAAGCAACTATCAAAATTTCTTGATGATCTGGAAATTTTAAGTTAAATAAAATTTAACAGAAAGATATCTTTGGTAATATTTTAATCAGAAATTCTTATATAAGTATTCCTTATCCTTTTTTTTTTAAAGTTCAATAACTTAAAGACTCTGCATCAAAAACATTTTTTTATTGTATGTCAGATCTTTATCATCACTGCAATTATTACTTATGGTGTAGGAGATTTGCTTATAAATAATTTACTGATTAGATTAGATTTTAACTGATTAGAATGTAATGGAATTTTTGCTATGACTGAAAAATTTATTCTGTTAAATAGTTCATCAGCATTATAAGCACTGAATTATTATATTTAATCATTTTTCTGCTAATGTTAATGATTAGCATTAGCAGCTACTGTTAATGATTTTTCTGAATTATTATATTCAATTCATTTTTTAATGGATTTAGTTATTCTTGTTTGCAAATATTTATTCAATTTTTGTCATGCAAGATAATTAAGGTTTCTGAATTAAATTTAATTCTTTGTGGTTGTATGCAAGTTTTTTTTCTTTTTCTTTTTTTTTTTTTTTAATTAAGGAAAAAATTTTAAAATACATGAAGTGTATATATATATATGAACTCATACACATCCGTGTATGTATATAACCAGTAATTTTGGAAGAATTCTTTGATGTTTTGATGTCTATGCAAAAAACTTTTTACTGTGCTCTGAAATTATTTTTCCATTCCATGCAATAATATAGGTATGTAATTCTTTTTTTTTTTTTTTTTTTTTTTTTTTTTGCTTGTTTGTTATTTAGCATGATGAAGAGAGTCAAAATAGATTGCTGACATTTACTAAGGTAAGAAATTAAGTGTTTTCATATGAATTTAAGTTTTTATCATTTAAAATTATAATTAATAAAATGAGTAACAGAATTAATGAAATGCAAGCTTTTGCATAGAAAGTATATGAAATATACTTAAATAAATGAAAATTCTCATGAAAGTTTTGAACAGTTTTTGTTAGATGAATTGGGAGCGGATGTTTCTGCACCTTGTAAAGATGAAAATGGAAAAGGTATGTACCTGTATTTCAAATTTTTTTAAATATGCCTCTTCTATTTGTTTATTTTATTGAAATGTTATTTTTAGCCCAAAAGGGCTACTAGTCTCGAAACTGCATTTTGCATCAAATTGCTCTTCAGATTGTTACCACCAAGTATCATCCTCTATTATATTTAAAGAAATTAAATAATGAAGAATCTACATGAATGCATGTATGTTTTTCGCATTGTAAAAAAACAACAGTAACTTGAGCCATCAAATTTTGAATAATGTGCCCTTCACCCAAATATGGGCACCTTGAAGCCCGAATTTTGAATTTTTGTTCTCTGTTACATATTTTGTTAAATTTAAAAAAAATAATAAAATAAAAAAATAAAAATCTGAAAGGTTTTAAATGTTAAATTACGTCCAAAGGGGCGTTGTTTTAACATTTTGTGTGTTACCATTATTTATTAAATATCATGTTCTTCTAAAACCATAAAATTCAGTTTAAGAGCAATATCACAAAGTAGTTTTAAATCGAGCCTATCTTTAGAATTTCTGAAACAGTCTCGTGCGCTGGAGATAATAATGTTTTTCCCTGTACACCGTTGCCATTGCTCGCTTTGAAATCCTTGAGTTTGTTAATCAAAAGTTAAAGTCATTAAAGTTTTACAAAATATGAAATCGATAATAAAACAAATTCAAAATTTCAAATTTGTGCTGCCACATGCCCATATTCGCAGTTGGATTACATCATTCAAAATTTGATGGCTGTATGTACTGTTGTTTTATCACAATGCAAGAAATATACATACATTTATGCAGATTTTTCATTATTTAATCTGTTCAAATATAATACATATTGTTTCAACAGGTTAAAAAGTGAAATGGACATTTATAGTGAACCACTGTATGGAATTAAACATTTTTATCTTCACTGCATAAGCCTTTCTATCAGAAATTCTAAAGATACCCTCGCTATTTTTAAATATTTAGCTAAAATGCTCTCAAAAATGTGTATGCGGAAAGAAAAAAAGGCCCCTTCTGGCGTAATATAAAATATGAAAGTTTTTAGATTTAATGTATTTATTTTTTATTTTATGATTAATTTTTTCTCTTCTTGTTTTTCAGATACTTCTTATTCTTTGCATCTTGCAACAAAATGTACTGGTGGCCGTGTTATTGAAGTACTGTTGGCTCATAAACCACCCTTAAATTGTTTTGATGATAAAGGTCAAACACCCTTAGTTCTTGCAATCAAAGAAGAAAATACTGAAGCTGTAGAAGCATTGGTAAGTCAATCTGTACTAAGGATTTTCAGAATAGATTTGTGAATTGTTTTAATACATTTAAAAGTCGTTAATACGGACACCCATAAACCGGAATGATCTATAATCCGAACCTCAAAGCTACAAACTTTCTGCGCATGCGTCAAGCGCATAAATACCTTTACTACTGACGCATACAGCTGACACATGCGTAAGACCTTTACGGCTGCGAATATGCGTTTGTGCAAAATACGTTTACGAATGCGCATTTAATGTATAACGGATGGTATAAGCTAAGCTAAAATTATGTAATTCAGTTAATGTTGCAGATTGTGTTGTTCCTTAATCTTCGAATTGGATTTGGCTTATTATTTTTTGCAGACGGTTAGAGCAATTTTATAAAAGTAAGCTTGAACTTTCGATTATGACAAATAGAATTTCCGATATGTATTTACTAATATGTAAAGGATCTACAAAGCGAAAGTATGTTTAAAAGTCCATTAAACAAAAAGTGGAATTGCTGCAAAAAATGGATAAAGGCATATCCTTCGTTTCTCAAACCATTCCGAAATCTGTTTATCAATTTCATGCTGCTCTGCGGCCCAGGGGGGACGCCGCGGCGCACAATGAATTGGAAATTAATCTGTCAGCACTATCCTTATCTTCAGGGCAGATGTTTTTATTTTATTTCGCTTATAATTCCTTACTAAATGTAGTATTTCATCTCGATGTACTCCGTCTTTGATATGATTTAAATCAAATTCTTTGTTATTATAATTCGCTTCCGATAGCGAAGAAAGTGACAGAGGTTATTGAAAACGAAAAAATTTCGATTGACAAATTAGTCGGTATTCTCGACTACAGCAATTATAGGACTTGGACAGCGGAACTTTGTAACTAAACAAGAAATTATGTCTGTTTATAGAATGTATTATCTTATAAAAAACGAAGCAACTTAAACAACTTACATTGAAAGAAATGTTTAATAAAGTAAACAAATAAATATTAAGCTGCTTTTTTTTTTTTTTTTTTTTTTTTTTTTTTTTTTTTTTTTTTTGTAAATTTTGATACCCTTCTTTATTTCATAAATTACGGTTTCATATTTTTAATTTTATAATTTCTGCATGCCATCTTACCAGATTTAAACTGATGATCTATAATCTAGAAAAATCGATAATCCGGAATCGCTGAAGTCCCGATGAGTCCGGATTAACGACTTTTGACTGTATAACATTCATTGTACATGCACTGTTATCAGTAATTGATGTAAGAAATATCAGTAATTGATATAATTTTGTCATATGAAAAATCATGTCTAAAGCACGAAAAGACATAGCTTAAATGACAGTTGCTTCAATTTTGTGATAAGCTTAAAATTCAGAATGAACATCCCTTGTATGCTTTAAAAAGTTTATCCTTTTTTTCTTATTTATTTATTTTCCCTGTATATTATGCTTTTTGTGTGGGAATATAAACATTTTGTAATATTTTCAAATTGCTTCTAATAGGAAGTTTTTTCCTCATAGCTTATGGGACTCGCTCATTCTCTTTATGTGAATCAGTTCCCTTATTTTCCAGTATGTTCACTGTCACAATTTTCTGCTGAAGTGTGTTTAAAGATCTGGAACTGTACCAGTTTTAACATTCTGTAAATCAGCTAATCCTATAATGTCATCATGTTTGAGTCTTAAAAAGGAATGAAGAGGTGATTGTCACTTTCCAAAATGTCGGTTCATTATCTTTTTTAAAAATTTTATATTAGAAAAATAAATATATCATTCGGGGATTGCATAAATTTTAGCCTATGTAAAGTAAGAAGTCAAATTTCTTGTCTTCCAGTCATTTTGTTATATGCTTTATTTTTAACTCACGCCATGCACTATGAATAGTTGGGTGATTTCTCATTCTGTAAAATATCAATATATAAACTGTTAATATATTGGAGACCATCCTGAAGCATGCATGTTCTCTGTGTCTCACATGATTGCATACTAGCTGATATTGTTCCCAGACATTTCACTTGACCAGTTTGTGGCAGATAAATGCCAATAGGAATCTGCCACTTCGGTGAGGATCAGGAGAGGGGAGATCAGCACTAAACTCTAAAGAGGAGCTTGGGTTAATCTTAGCCTACCTAGGTCTGCCAGTTCCGCAATTTCATAGAATTTGCACTGAAGAAAATGTTGTATATGACTTTAATATCCTATCTCTGTTCAGCTAGTTAAGTGATGCCAACTGCCATCCCATTGGCCTGAGTTTGAGTCTTGAAGAAGGCATGGGTGATTGTAAGCACATTTGCCTATCCATCAAGGAAGCACTTAAAATACACAGCAAGCCAGAAGTCTTTTCGAAGGTTGGTAGTAGAGACAATGTGCTCCTTCAAAATTAGGACAGAACTCCACAGTTAGTGTGGGGGGGGTTACCTGTACAACCAGTGGTGAAATTATGTTATCCTCCCACTTCTACCTGTACCTGCAGTGTCCTGTCTGGAGATTAATATCAGTATTGTCTGATGTAGTGTGTGGGGAAATTCATTGTGAGCAGGAAAGAGCATGCTTAATGAGATACATTCTTTTCACTTATATCTTTTCTTTTTCAGTTCTCGTATTATCTTTTATGCAATGAAAATTGGTAGTGCATTTGTGCAGCCATCGTGTGCAACAGTATTACAGAACAATGTTAGGTTAGTTAACATACCAAGTTTTTAGGTATGCTAAATATAGCTGGATTCTGAAAATCATGCAAATATTTAATTTGGTAAAAGTCTAAAATCTGGAATGATCTAATATCTGGACAATTTGCTTACCTTCCCCCTTCCTTTCTCATAAAAAGTGGGAAGATATTAGATTCTGAAAGTAACATCTCCCTTAAGTATTTCCTTAATGTCTGATGCATGTGCTCATAATAAAGTATATGAAAGTTCTTAATTTCAGTTCAGCATTAAACAAAACATCTCCATGTTGAATAGATGCAATCATTTATTAGTTTACATCCGTATAATTAAAAATTTATTTCCTCGCAATATCTGAAGTACAATTCTAAATGCTGAAAGTATCACTACTGATAATGAAGAAAGTGATAAAGAGGCTGCTGAGAATGGAAAATTTTCAATTGACAATTTAATGAGAATACTTGACTTAGCTGTTACAAGATTTCATTAATTTCTATATGTCATCTTTTTGCTTTTCCTCCAGTTTCTGACGAAGTCAGACAAGGTCCAAAAGACCATTGATTCTAAGAAAGTCTAGCACAAGGAGGGGATTGGAGTAAATATCTTCCCTAGAGAGGCCCAAAGAGTTTAACATGTGCTCGCCAGATGCCTGATGCTCTCAGCTTTTGGAGCATGTGGCAAAGATTTTCATGCCTTCCTTGAAAGGCATCTTACTAAATTGAAAGTTATGATCTAAGATCTGAAAAATTACGGAATCATGAATGAATCTGGACTGAACTTTGTACTGTATTTATAATATGTAGTTACTTGTATATATATATATATATATTTAAAAAAAAAAAAAAAAAACCTTGAAATGCATTTTTAAGAATAGCAGAATAAGTATCTAGTCCCTAGACTTATTTAGTAGTGAACTGTAAATCTTGCAGCATAATTTGTGCTTTTAGAAAATTACTAGCATCCATTTTTGTTTATTAAAGCATTCTAATATGACTATTTGAATTTATGTTTTTGTTCTGATTCTTAAGTACAGTGGGTGTTCATACATTTGTAGAAAAATTTTAGGGCCATTTAATTAGTATTTAAAATGGAAAGATTTCTGTAAATATTTGATCTTGTAATTATTTTCTAATATATAAGCCTGCATTGCGAATGCCATGATAGAAGGTCTTTTTTAAAAATTTCCAGGGGTATTGATTTCCACTCCTCTTTCACTGCTTTCTTGAGTCCATCAGTTTGGGTGGGTTTGCTCTTAGAAAGAGCTCTTTCAAGAGACCAAAGACACAAGAGTGCATAGGTGAAATATCAAAAGACTTTGCAGAGTATGTGTAAAATGTATATATGCAATATCTGTATCAGTCTTCATTTCGTCAAGGAGTGCAGCAGTACTTTTCAAAATAAGACTTGCTGCTTTGTCTGGATGAAGTTTCACTCTTTGAAAGATATTGGGATAAAGAAATGGTTCCCACCGCCTTAATACTCGGCATAAATTTTTCGTGATGTGTACTGAATTGATTTTAACATTTTTCTCTCCTCTTATTTTTAAAATAATCCTTCATGTATGATGTAAAATGTTATATAATTTATTTTTAAAGTAAATCTGTTAATAAGAGAATCCCACAACAGTCATAAATCTGTTTCTTTGCCCATTGACGGAACCAAAATTTGTACATTATTTTTCTCTTCCATTTACTATCTCTTTTTGTTGCCGTTATTTAGGTAAATCCATGTTTCATCAAGGGTTACAAAGTACTTCTATTTATGTCCTGCTAGGTAGTTTTCATACAGTGTTCTCTGTTGAGCCACTTGCATTGAGAAAAGCTAATAACATTATGTTTTTTAGCTTTTTTATGTTGAAAATTTTGGTCCTTTTTTTAATTTATTGCTGCTGCTTTTAAATGGCAAGCATAATATCTGTTGGGGGATAACTGAAGCAGAAAATAAATGCTGTCAGCACTTACCTGTAATGATAAACCTCTTTTATAAGATAAAGTCAGAAACAATTAAATACATAGTCACTTGTCTTATACAAAATAGAAAAACTGATATTACAACTTATTGGTTGAAATGTTAAACCTAATGGAGATGGAAAACAGTATTGACAAAACTGATTAAATGTGTTTTAACTTTCTTCCATGGACCCATCATTGAAAATGCATTAATTATATATGAGAGAATGTAGAATGTCCTTGAAAATTGATAGCCTAGTGCTGTGTAGACTGGGAAATATATTTATTTTTCTTATTAAATAAAAATACATTTGAAGTTTTTGAGTTAGGAATTCCCTCTAAAGACTGAAAGATTTTAAGAGATAATTTATTGAACAGCTTTCTAGAATCTTTTGCATTTTTTGCAATGCTATTCCTGCTAGTAATTCCTGTTCTCTAACATCTATTAATGGTCATACTTCAGAATATCTGACTGATTAGTGGAGGAATATATACAGCATTTTCCAGAACTTAAAATCCCCAAAAGGAAGCTACAGTTAGCAATTATATATTTTTAACGTTCTGTCATTGAGAATGTATATAACTTTCTGGAATGTGATTAAATACAAATTAATTTTTAATAAATTATAAAAAAATGTATACTCTTTGTGCTTTGTATTAAAACTATGTTAATGTTCATGTATCGCATTAATTTTCTGAATGATTTTAAAATGTGTTGGACATTTACTACGCAGTAGCTTTTTTTTTTTTTAAATGGGATTGCAGCTACTCCTGGGAATACTTTGATTCTTTGATAGTTTAAGGATTATTGAAAATCAAAAAAATTTAAATAGTAATTGGTAAAAGTGAAACCAAATATATTTTTAGTTTCAAGATGCATTTTTATCTGTGTTAAACACAAATATAAACAAAACAACTGTATATATCATATGCAAATGCACTCAAAGCTAAATTATATGTTTCTTATACACTAAAAGACTGGTAAAGTGATATAAAACTGTACCTTTTAATTCACATCTTTTAAATCAAATGAGGAGATGCCAGAATATGGATTCTTCATGTAACAATTGTTTTAATGCAACTAATTGCCAAAATTTGCATGGCAGTATTGATTAATCAGTAAAAGGTTGCAATCTTTTTGCACTGTTAGCATTATCGCAAAAACGAGCTTTGTTACTTACCTGTTTGAATTATGACTAAACACTGTTTCTAGCATCTTAAACTTTTCTAATGCAGATTCTATTATACACTGTATTAAATAAAGAATGTAGCAAGTAATGAATTCATTTCAATGAAATTTATTAGTAAAAGAGGGACTGAATTGCTCTTAGTAAATTTTCAACTGTAATAAATAAACGCTGTATCTTTATTGTTTATTTGTATAAGTTTGCAAATCAATGCATTCATAATTGTGTTCTGATTTGTCACAGACCTCTAAAAATTCTGGCTCGGCTTGTGTGGCTGTAATGTAACTGATATGAATGCTATTACTTTAAGTAAAATGTAATGCAGTTTTTGCAAAATGTTTATATTTCTTTTTAGGTTAAAGCTGGAGCAAATGTAAATTTGAAGTCTAATGATAAAGCAAAATTAAGTCCTCTTCTTCTTGCGGCAAAGTGAGTTTAATGCATTATAATAATTTTTTTAGATTTTTTATTTTGAAATAATATTTGGTTTGTTATAATTCTTTAACAGATCTTTTTATATGAGGGCATTTTTAAAGAAGAAATTTTTTAATAAACAAATAAATATTTTTCTTTACCTCAAATCAGTATTAACTGAAAGTATAGGAAGTGCACTTAATAAGATCATGCTTGTCTGTGACTTTTGATAACATTAAGCAATGAAAGAGTATCCTTCAAAATGGGAATGGAATTAAACCAATTTAATATTAGTATAGTTAGAAACATATGAATACTTATTTTTGAAGCATTGTAGTTAGGGGAAAGTTATTAATACTTGATTGATTGCCTACACTTGTTTTTCAAAAGTTAATTTATAAATTGTGCTCCCCCTTTTTTAATCAATTTTATCATCATCATCTTCAAAAAGTTGGATTTGTTTCAGAAAGTGGATGTAGATAGCAAGAACTTGATTTTTTCCATCAATATCTGGCCGAGCGTTAAATATCTCACAATTCATCTTAGTTGGAGATGTTACATTTAGTTGTTCAGTTTCCTTTATTTCGTCATTAAATGGTAACCTGCTTAAACAGTTCTTTATTGTCTTTTATACTATGTGGTTCCAAGACATGTTCAGCAAAGGCAGCATATTCAGAAGTCTAGTTTTCATTGCTAATTCATTTGCTCTTATATCCATATCATGTATAATATATATGACTCGATTACATATCATAATGATAATGTTCTTTCATTGTTGTAATAATCGTTGATTGCGTGGCTGAAAAATGGCTGTGGCAAATATGTTCATTATGTTCAAAAGTGGCACATATGTTATGAACTGTTTAGTTATCAATCGGAAGATGATAGTATTCTTCAGTTTATCCAGTTTCATAGGCCATTCATTAAAAATTGCTGATGTCATTGTTGCCTTTGAATTATATTTCACTGGTAAAGTGTATTTTTTAACCACTGGTAAAGTATTTTTTAAAGCATTATTGATGTTTTTCTCCCCATTATAAAATAATTCTCTCTTTTTTTTACCACATATATTGATGCGAGATAAATTAGTGGCATAGTCTATTGATATTTTATGTCTTTTTGAACTTTCTGTTTTAAATAGATATGTATGTTGAGGTAATGCACTATTCCTTAGCCATGTTTTCTTGACATTGTAAATGTTTTCTGAATAATGCATTGTACAGAAGGTCATTCATTTGACAATCTTTATCTGGCAGACGTAAATCAGCTTCTATTCTTCACCATGAAGGCCTGCTTTTCCTTTTCTTCCATTAGCTAGACCAGGCATCTGTTCTGCAAAATAATGTTTCCACATTTTTACTTCTAATTCTTTACCTTTCTGCTGCACGAATAGACTGTCATATCTTTTTCATGAACATTTGTAAACCAAATTTTCAGTTCCTTCTCAACACTTTGGAGATTTTAGTTATACATCCTTTTGATTTTGCTTTAATTTGCAAATAATATCTTCATAAATCTCCAAAATCTTTCTTAAGTGGGCTTGAGATATATTTATCTCATTTATGAGCCGCTAATTCATTTATGGGAGTTGATCGTAGTACTTTAAGAAGTTAATTTTATATCTTAGATGCTCCTTACTAGGCTGCATGATAAAACTGGCTAAACAAAGTTTTTAAAAATTAACACTTTCCAGAATATTTATAAAAATGCAAACCTCGAGCAAGTAAAGAGATATTTTATAGCAAAAAGCCCAGAACTAGAATTGCATTTTGTAATTGGTTAGTTCAGTGTATGTTCTTAGAACTTATAGAGCCGGTTCCTTTGCACATACTTGCCATAAAACAAAATCGAAACTGCTTGGCACTTTAGTACCTTACTTAGCTACATTCTATCATTTGGTTACTTTTGCGCTCTTATTTTGAACCTTTTCGGCATAATCTTTTATTTACAACTTTATTGAATTGAAAAAATTCATTGTATAATATTATGAGAGCATTAACCACCTTATTGATGACAATAAATGATGTATTTTTCGTGTTTTCTCATGCAACTAACTAGCTGGGACTTTTGCAAATCGAAAATATCTGAATCATAACATTAAACACAGTCACATTCAATGACGTACTGTATTGCTCTCAATTTCATTGCTATTTAATCTTTTCATTTTTACATATAAGCATCTGTCAGTCAGAAGCTATGCATGGCGATTCTATTGATAAAGCATTCTAGTTTCAGCACATTGAAAAACAGAGGCTTAGAAATATTTTCTCCTTTTGTAAGGATTAGAAATTCATATTTGGTATATGTCATAGAAAATATTTTTGCTTGCTTTGAACACCCTAGCTGCTATTTTGAATTTTGCTCGAAATTTTCAAATGGTAAAGGAGCATGTCTTAGAAAATGCCTTTAAATTTGTGAAAATCTTCATGCAGTTAAATTACTACCCTTGTTATTCACAAGGCATTCCAGGGTGATCATTTTGAAGCCTCATCATTTAAGACTTGTTTCTAGGTTATGTAGAAAAGCATTTCTATTGAACTGAGTTCTGTTCAGATAATGTGAATGTACTTTCTTCAGATCCAGCAGTATTTAGATTTTGCGCTATAATAAGTGTGTACACTACTAATGAGGCAATTTTGCTCAGTGCATGTAGTTAGTTAACTAAAAGTGCAAAAATAAATATCCTTCTTATCAGCCTTTACTAATTGTTTCAGTCAATGGTTTGATCCTTTCTAGAGAAATTTTGTTAATTGAAGGCCTGCTAGAAACTGAAGCTATTATATTAAGCTAAGTCATATATTTATGCAAGATAGTTATTTGAATAACAATGTTTCAAATACTGTTTATATTTTTGTAATAATAACAGCATTATTTCCGGTAAATTGAGAAATTTAATCATATTATGTAGATGTCTTATGTCAGGTAGGTATATTTTCTTTTGGGAAGAGTACGTATTTAACAATATTGATATGTCTGGTTTTAAAAATGGGACTAATGTGGACATTTTAAGTGCTCATTAATATTTTATTGTTTTTGTTTAACTGTTCTAATTTTTCACCTAAAAACATATTGTATATTTGTATACTCCGATCCTAAATAGTTGCTGAACATATCTTTTATTCTTTATTAATTTTTCAACAGAAATCCCAAACTTGGGAACATTGTTCAACTCCTTGTTCATAATAAAGCAGATGTAAAAGAAACTGATCCAAAAAATAAAAATACAGCTTTGCATTATGTTGTCAGTGGACGAGCTGCAAGTAAGCAAAATTGTAGAACTCATTTAATAAGATGTTCAGATTGTATAAGTATTTTGTTTATTATTATTCATCAACAAATACCCTATATTTCTCTTTAAATATTTTACTGCAATTGTATTTACATATGCTATTGTTTTGAGAAAGTAGAGGATATAAATTTAAATTGTTTAACATATCTTGGAACATTATTTGATATTATGCATTTATTTTTATAAAGTTCTGAGCACTCTGTATATCCTACCTCATGAAAAGAAGGATTACTTTAATGATAATATAAGAAGTTCAGAAGCTCTGATTATTTTTTTGTTCTATTATGTGTAAAAATACTTCCACCCGTTTTTAGAAATAAGTACGGGGTTGCCATGCTACCGGAAAAAGTCAGCGAATGTAAATATTTTAGTCAAAATCTGGGAAAGTCATCGAATTTCATAGGGCAATCCTCCAAACAAGAGATTTTTATGCCAGTGTTGTAAACAATCTCTTTACTGGCGAGTTATGTATAGTGTGAGTATCATTCGGACAGCTGGCGTAGAGCCGATTTTTGCAGCTCTAATAAGATTGTCTTTTAGAAAGGCAAAGCAAGTTTCCAGTAACCTCGAAAATCGAGAGATTTGCATGCCCATGTGCAGTGCATGTTGAACAAAAGAAAATACGTTCCTATTAATTTAGTTTAATATCACGCTGAATAACAATCAAAAACAAAAATTTAACATTAAGAAACAGTGTAAATTAAAAAAAACTTTTTGCAGTACTGGTTTCGATAGTTTTTTAACTACTTTCTTCGGCTGCTCTAAATGTAAATGAACCAAATAAAGGTGAAGGATGATAAGGATAGAGATAAGAAAAAGTGGACAGAAGTTAAGCTAAGAAAATTTCTTTAAAGGCTGAAGGGTAAAGATAGATTGGCAATATAATGACATACTATCACAAAATTTAATGCACATATTTTTTGCTTATGTATGCTCCTAAATAAAAATGAAATATTTGAATTTACTTTAAAATACCATTAAATAGATTTCATTCTTTTGTTTAGCTGCAAAATATTTGCAGAAACATATTTTAATCCAGAATGGGCAGATTCTAATCTCAATATTCAGTGGAGAAAACAACTCCTATTATAGTTATAATAGTAATGCTTTAGGGATTATACATACTCTCTCTCTCTCTCTCTCTCTCTGTGTGTGTATATATATATATATATGTCATATGTTAATTGGCAAAATTTTGTATTTTTTCAAATGGTCCCTAATTAATTTACTTCTCAGCACAGCCAATGCACACTAAACAGATAGACTAGAATTTTCTTAAAACACACCTGGAAAACTTGGAAAGGTCTGGGAATTTCATTCTCCTGTTTGACTGGCAACACTTTTCTAAATTCATTTATTATTAGTTAATAACCCTTTCAAATTTCAGGCAATTTTCTCCACAGATTGTTGATGAAACTAGTTCCAGCAATATGATGACATACCATTGCAAAATTTAATGCACATATTTTTTGTTTATGTGTGCTTCTTAATAAATATAAAATACCTGAATTTGCTTTAAAATATCATTAAATAGATTTCTTCCTTTTGTTTAGCTGCAAAATGTCTGTAAAAAAAAGACATTTTTTAATCCAGATTCGGCAGAATTCTTCGTTAGTGTAGTTTCAATCGTTAGTGTAGAAAACAACTATTGTAGTTATATATTAATTAATGATTTGAGGATAAGTCATGTGTAATTGGGAAATTTTTGTTTTTCAAAGTGGTACCATAATTAATTTATCTCTCAGTCCTGCCAAAGTGCATTAAGTGGACAGACTGGAATTTTTTTAAAACACGCCTGGAAAAGTCAGGGAATTTCATTTTCCTGTTTGTGTGGCAGCCCTGTAGAAGAGGTTGCAGATATATATTAAATATATTACAAGTGTATATAATAAGCTGTATAACTGTGTAAAAGAGTTTAATTTACAGCAGTTTACTAATTAGATGGGAATAGTTTATTTTAACAAAATGGTTAATTTTGTTCAAATGAAAGCAATCTGAAATTTATACTTGAGCATATTAAACTATTTAAAATTTTTAATCTACATTAATCTTGCTTAGTATTTTTTTAATATATTATGTTTCAGTGTGAGAATTTGCTTTATCATAATTACAATGAATTAAAGCTTTTGTTTGATTTTATAGCCATCTTTAAGTTTGAAAATTTTAACCCTGTCTCTTGTATCTTGATAACTAAAATGTGGTATAAATACTTTTTTTTTTTTAGATGTTCTGGAGACTGGAAAAGTTCTTTTAACAGCTGGAGCAGATGTAAATGCTCGTAATGATAAGCAAAGAACCCCTCTCCATTTGTCTGTGAACTCATCTGGTAGTGATAGTGATTCATGCTATGCAATTGAAGAGTGTTTACTGGGTTTTGGTGCAATGACAGATGCTAGAGATTGTAGACAACGAATTCCTCTTCATTATGCTTTCAGAAAAATTGGAAGGTGACAAAAAATTGTCTTTTAAATTTTTTTTTAACTAGCTACCAAATAAAGGCATTATCACAAATAGGCTATCAGTCTCGAAAAAAGATTTAGTTGTGTATCACTTTAAATGCATAAGTCTGTTGCCATGAAATATCGCCTTGTATTACTTTTAAAGACATTAAGTAATGAATAATCTTCACGAACATATATTTATGTTTCTTACTCTGTAAAAAAAAAACGACATTACCTAGGGCCATCAAAATTTGAATAAAACAGTCTGCTAACCAAACATATGCACCTGGAAGCCTGAATTTTGAATTTCATATTTTATAATGTTTTACTGAATTTTTAACTAACACAGTGATTTGAAAGCAAGCAGTGCCAACGCTGTACAGATTACAGCATTGTTATCTCCATTTCATGAGACCATATCAGAAATTCTAAAAGTGCTATTTTTAACTATTTTATGAAGTTGTTATTCAACCGAATTTTATGTGGCATAAGTGTGAAGAACATGATATTTAATTAATAAATTTAACACACAAAATGTTCATAATAAAAAGACAAAAAAAGTTTTGCAAATCATCTTACCAAGTACATTGGTATGATAAACAGAGAAGAGTTTAAAAAAAAGAAAAGGAAATGCATGCCAATACATAACAACTTCATGAGGAATTCTAAACACATGCTGCTGTTAAAATTTTTGTAATTTTGCTGTTGAGTTGTATATGACATAAGTGTGAAGAAAATGCTGCTTAATAATAAAGCTAAAAAGAGAAAAATAGGCTAGGAAGAGTGAGTACATCAGCAGATTGGTAGATTGCAAGCTCTGCAAGTGTGTAGAAAGACCTTAAGATACCCTTTTGGGCAACTGTTAAAATCTGAGACCCTTTCAGATTTTTTTTCTTTCTTTGCAAAGTTTTTTTTTTTTTTTTTTTAATTCATCTCTATGTTTTATTCTTCCAGGCCTTTTGATACATCTCCTATTGATCCAGTAGAAATAACCATGCTGTTAACAGGATCGATAGAAGCTGAGACTATGAATGTACCAGACCAGTTTGGACAAACAATTTTGCATTGTGCTGGATATCGAGGAGCTACTATATCTGTTCTAAATTTGTTTAAGGTAATATTTCACTGCTATGTAAAAGTCATATATGTGTCAAGAAACATAGCGTTATTTTTTTAATATTGTTCATTTATTTCCAGTATTACAAAAATCTTGATGCCAAAGACAAAGATGGCAATACAGCTTTAGGTCTTGCAGTTAAAAATGGACATGAAAGGTAGTTTCACTTTTTTTCAGCTAATTATGTATTTTTTATGCTGTTGGAATTGAGGTGTTATGATTATGTAAATGAACATTAGAATATTTTGAATATGAATTACGTTTTTATTGAAATGGTACAAATCAACATTTAAGTACGGGCAACAAATATATTTTAGCAAGTACTGTTAACCCTCTGAGCGTTATCGCTGGCTTTATCTGGTCATGAGATTTTTTGTCATTTTTTATATATTAGCTTATAATTTATGATATTTTGCTTTCTTACATTCTTTAATAATATAAATATCAGCCTAATAAATGTAAGTTTATGAAAATAGAAGATAAAGTAAGTAAATATACAAATTTAGCTAAAAAAGTGTCTTTGAATGCAGGTCTTCATGACAGATCCAAAAACCCGTGCCGCTCAGAGGGTTAGTATTATCAAAGCTACACACCTGTTTCAGTTTGTATTAGTTCTGATAAAAGTAAGAAAACTGATAAGAAAACTTTAAATACCTAAGGTATGTCAAAACAAATATAAGCTTATTTAATTGAGGTTTTGTATATATGGCTGGATAATTTATATGATATGTACATTTTCTGAATTTTTATTTCTGAATTTACATTTCTGAATATGCAAATTATAAAAAGTTCTTCAAAATTTAAATAATTTTTTATATATAATTAAAAACTTATGATTCTCTTAATTTTTTTTTAATAATGAACAATTAAGAGGCACATGGCTGGATGGTTAACTGTTAAAATTTTTTCCTACTCATGTTTATTTAGATTTTATTCTGAAAATGGTGTACTGATTTAAAAAAAAAAAAAAAAAAAAAAAAAAAAATGGGTCATTTCTTTGCTGTGTTAAAATTAAAGAAAAATTGATGTAAATTTTGCATCAAAAACAGCTTTTTTCAAACATGAATAGATGCAATGCCTGCTGAATGGTGTTGCTGTGTACAGCACTGTGTGCCTGTAATAAAATAATTGATACTAATTCAGAAGTCAAACAACAAAAATCAGCGTTACATTTTCAAAATTTTCGGCTTAGTAATTCTGTTTACTAACATCAATTATTTTAAGACACAATAACACACCGAATAAATACTAATTCAGAAGTCAAACAACAAAAATCAGCATTACATTTTCAAAATTTTCACACTAAGCCCCAGAGAAGCTTCAAAAACAGCACCTGTCTAGTCTACAATGACAAAGTGACGACTGATGTGGTATTAATTTGAGCATTATTTAGTTTGTATTTCTTTTATAAAGGAAGCATTAGATGTCAATTTTTAATGGCACCTAAATGAGCATTATTTGAAATGTTTCTTCAAAGTGTTGTAAGTCATTATTAAGGTGACAGAACCTGTTGTATGCTCAGGATGAAACAGCAATTATGCAGTTAAGATTTTAATGTTTTCAGAAGTACTAATATGTTTGATTGCCTGATTTAATCTTACTTGATTATTTACTGTGATAGAACTTCTTTAACAAAAAGTTGAAAACATGGTCTTATGCCAATGCTGGTGTAATGAATTAAAATTTGAGAATGCATGCAGTGTACTTTTCAGGCAATGCTTGAACATATAAGGACATCTTTGCCTTCTCATTTGCAGTAATGTATTCAGCAGTAAGTGGTTACTTGCCTTATGGGGTATTTAAAGTATGGTAATACCACAGCAAAATCCAGATCTTCTATAATAAATGTATGCACATTTTCACCTTCCACCAGTGTTTTGTTTGTTTTTTGAATTTATCAGTCGTTTTTGATGCATCTAAATTTTTCTGGGCATATTTATGTAAAGTGTTTAGTTGTTTATAACATTTATGTCTAGTAAAGTTTATAACATTGAAGTTTCTAATGTATTCCTAATAATGCAACTATCAGGCTTACTATTGAGGCTAGTTAAACTACTCATTATTAAATCTGGAAAAAGTCATACTGTAGGGAAGAATTTAATCAAACCATCAAATATCAGCATTTCTTAAAATGTTTCTGAAAAAAGGCAACATAGCTTTAATGCCATTAAGTAGCAAAACTGTTATCAGAAGAAAAGGTGATATGAACAAGGAAAATTAAATATAACTTGTTGAAAAGCTGAAAACAAGAAAATTCTCAGTGCAAATGGATGTGGAGCTGTACTTATAACTTACGTAAGGTATATTGATAAAAGGGATTTTGCTGAAGAAATGTGTTTCTGTAAATCATTAGAAAGCACCACTACCTCCAAAGTTATACATAGTGAGTTTAAAAATTAAACTGCTGGCCATTAAAATTGCAATATTAGGAAGGAATAATCTGATGAACTTCAAAATCACATGAAAGTAAGAAGAGATTGGGATATAAAAATTATTTATATTTCAGCGCATTTAGACGACGTGAGAGGGAGAAATGACATCTGAAGCACTGCATAAAATAAAAGTTGTGTAGTGAATTTCTCATTCAGAAAGTGCTTTGTAAGGTCAGGGTTTACTCAGAATATCGTATTATGTCTCGAATAATAAAAAGACTTTGCCAGCAAATGTTAAAATTCGATAGAGGCAAGATTGTTGCCTATAAAGAGTGTGGATTATCGTTCCGTGGTACCGCCCATCGCACTGGTGTCATGCGAATATGGAATCAGTGGGTTGCTGAAAGTCATACTGAACGGCATGCCGAATCTCAACACCCTCCTATGACTAATGCCCGAGAGGACACACATATTGTGAGGTCAGCTCTGCAAAACAGCACAACCACATCATGGACCATTAGTCAGAAAATTGGCATATTTGCAGCATGCCCAGTACCTGCTCGTACATTGCGTTGACATTTGCAGCAGCATGGACTATCAGCACAATGACCATTACTTCGTCTTCCCTTGACAACGAAGCATAGAGAAAGACACCAATCCTGGTGTGCCAAACGACAAAGCTGGATACAGGAGTGGCACTATGTCATCTTTTCAGATGAAACCCGGCTCTGTGAGCAGTATTCTGATGGCTGTATACATATCTGGAAGCTCCGAGGAGACTGCACGCTCTCCTACTTGCATTTGATATTGACATAAGGGCCTTGTACCTGGTGTGATGGTTTGTGCAGCCATTGGGTACATGACACGTACATCGCTGGTTCAGATCGATGGTAATTTGAATACAGATCAGTACATTTCTGATGTCTTATGTCCAGTGGTTGTACCAAATCTTCGAATCCTGCCAAACGCCATCGTCCAACAAGATAATGCAAGACCACATGTTGCACATTGTGTTCTGACCAAGCCCTGTTTGACTGTATGCCTAACTTAGTAAAGACCATTTTAGCTGTCAGGGATGGCAGCTGTGTCTACTAATTTTGCCCCCCTTCCCCCTGGAAACCCCCAAACTGCTTATAAATTTAATCATTTTGTTTTCATGCCATACTGTTTTATGTACAACAGATAACTTTTTTGTGCTTGCTTTCCTTAATGGTGTTGCAATTTTGATGGCCAGCAATGTACTTAGAGGTCAACAATATACCAATGAAAAGTATAACATCCTGTGCTGTAAGTGGTGTTTCTAATGTGATGGAGGGAGGGGGATGGTTGCTTAAAATTGATGAAAGATGAAAATCTAAAAATGCCTCTTGTGCATTTTGTTACTCACAGAGAAAACCTGGTAGTTAAAAAACATTTTGCTTGTTCTAAATGAAGTACTTAGTTATAAGATATATCAGTGCTATTAAAGCTATTGCCAAATGTGAACTCTTCAAGTTATTTTGTGAAGAACAAATTAAAGATCATTTGAGACTACTACTTTGCACTTCAAAGTAAGATGGCTTTTGAAAGGAAACTGTTTGAAAAGATATAGAACTATTTTATTTTCTTAGTGATTTTTTAAGCGGCAAACCTGAAATGAAAAATCTGTTACCGATCTGTTAAGGCATTTGTGAGTTAAATAGAGTATACCTTTAAAAAAACTAAATATATTTAACAACTTCAAGGAATAAATAAAACTCTTTTGATGCAAAAGCAGAGATATTTGGTTTTATTACCTTTAATAAATTATGTCAGACATATATTTATAACAAAAATTTTAAAAAATTTCATTGGCTGCAAAAATGTGAAGTCACTGATATGTGTTATATGTGTTATTAGGAGCTACATGTGTTATTATCAATCATCTGAAAATTTTATTGGCTGATTTGAAAGAAAGTTATTCTGATTTTAAAGAAATATATTTCCTAACTTGGATGATGCAGCCAATATCAGTGGGTTTATCTGATATTTTAAATATACAATGTCAAGAAATCGCAGAAATGCAAAATAAAGTCTGTTAAAACTTTAGTTAATATTAAAGGAGCAATTGCATAGTTTTGTGAGGAAATCAAATATGCAAATGCAACCAAATATGCAAGAAAATTATTGTTACCGCTTCCATCCTCATATTTAGCTGAGTGTGAATTAAGAATTCAGCTGGATATAACAAACAGAAGACTTGAGACTGAAGTTAACTAAATTGGAATGTAACATAAAATCTTTTTGCAGCAAGCATCAAGTGCAACTAACTAAATTTAAATAATCACTTATAATTAAAATAATATAGAAAAATCTTTCATTAAAATTGTTTTGTACTTAATTCGGTTCTCCATTGTATCCTAAAAGGTCTACTTACTGTGTTTTCTCGATAATTTCTTAGTGCTTTCCAAAAACCTATCATTCATGTTTTTTAGTGAGCATTTCAATTTTTGAATATTAAAAATTATTTATATGTTATGGTGGCATAAGAATTTTGGAATAGCTTAGGTTGGGCATAGCACAAAAAAGTTTGGGAAACACTTTTGTAGAATATTGTTACTGTGAACTTCATGCAACTTTTTACAGGGTTTTTGTGTGTTCCTCCGTTTCTAACAATAAAATATGCAGCTTTAATTCTTCCACCGTCCATATGTTATCAAATCTATAAAAACAAAATAAAGAAAGATTTTTATTAGTGCACATCACTCTCAACCTCTCAACTGTTCAGGGCATAATGATTGCATGGAGGCAAATAAGACTAGTAATTTCAAAAATCAGTATTTGCCATCTTTTACCAAAGTGATTCATTACATTTCCGACAACCCAATATATAACCCATAAAACCTTATTATTTTAACATATTTCCTAAGATGAGCATTTTCTCCTTCTTATTTTAGTTGTGCACTGCAGCTGCTTCAGCAAGGAGCACATTGTATTCTTGATGTTGTTACACCATTGCATTTAAAAGATACTGTAGATTCATCCAACTGGGTGTGGAAACACGTAAAGAAAGAGCCTGAAAGCCCTGAAAAACATACTATAATACAGGTTTGCATTATGAATATTTTTTACTTGTAATTTTTAGAAATCAATAATAAGGAAGTGGATTTTCTGTCCTGCTTTATTAATTTTGCTTTATTCTACTGTAATTGTTATTTTTACTTCAAAACTAGGAAGCTTTGTTGAAAGATTGGCAAGGTATATTGTATGTGATGATGAATCAATTGGAACATCAAGGGAAAGGAATGAATCTTGCTGTTGAGGTAACTTTGCATAAAACTATAATTCTTGTATAAGAATTATTTCTTATTTGTAAGTTTTCCTTAAAAAGCAGATTATGATAAAAGTAATCATACTTCAGGGTCAACTATATTCCCCCTTTTTTAAAGTAGCATTAAATTGCTATGCAACAATATAATATAATAGTATACAAAAAGGATGAAGGTATACTTTATTCCTATTCAGCAAATCCTTCTCTGGAGTGCACTGAAAATATCAAAAACTCATTGCCCATTTGACGATTGGTTGGGTGTAGGAGATAAGAATTGCACTGAAATTGCAACTACTTATGCACAGACACCCAAGCCCCGGGTTGGGCTTGGGTGACCTTTTAATGTGGCTCACTTTGCAAGTATGATCCCTTCTCAATCTTGTGTAGAGGCAAGAGAGATGTACCAAGAGGCAAAAGGGAAAATTGAATTCTAGTTAGACCAAACACTCAAAGCAGCAGCTGACTCACTATTTTACATTAGACGGTGCACTGCAACACTGCTTTATAACCATGGATCATCACTTACATTATGATGGGTTATTTCAGATTGAACTGAATGCTTTGTTTTCAATTTGATTTTCATGAACTTTGATGTATAATGTACAGTCATTTTACAGCACCATAGTTATTTCTCGTAATCTGGGTGAAAGACAGATCAGTGAACACGAAATGAATTTTTGAAGTTATATGGCAAGTAGCTGGTTTCATACAGGTAGAAAATATATTTGCTTCTTCTGTGTATGTTAATTACAGTACTCGTTCAAGATCTGTACTCGTCGGGACTTCGGCAATTCCGGATTTGGGATTTTTCCGAAACATAAGTTTAAATCTAGGAAGATGGCATGTAGAAATTATAAAATTGAAAATATGAAATCGGGATTTGTAATAATGTATGGATCGGAAGTGTTGTCATCGCAATGAAAACTTCTGTTATATCATCTTCATTTATTACTGCGTCTCCACATGTCTTTGCAAAATCCATTAATTGGAAAATTTCACTTGTGGTTTGCGATATTCGAAAGCATATCATCTTCATTTATTACTGCGTCTCCACATGTCTTTGCAAAATCCCATTAATTGGAAAATTTCACTTGTGGTTTGCGATATTCGAAAGCCTTCAGATTCCCGTCTGTCATCATCATCATCCCAACCAGGAAATAAGGTAGCTTGTCATAAATTATACCAAGCATTTTTTAAGGTATCATGAGACACATCTTCTCACGATCTTGCGATGCTCCACGCAGCAGATTTTATGTTAAAATATTTCCAAAATTCTTGAACAATCTTGCCATTATTCAAGAAATTTAACATGGATTTTAAAAAATGCTACTTTATATTTGTATTTCAGTTCACGCACTATTCCGATATCCATAGGCTGACTGATGGGCATATGATTTGTAGAAAAGAATAATACAGATACATTATCTTTCACTAAAACTTTAATTGAGGTGTGAGCCTAGCACTTGTCTACATTCAGGGCAATGTTTGCGTCATATGGTAAACCAACCGAATTCAAATGTTGCTGAACCTCGGGTATGAAATGATTTTCAAACCATCAATTCATTAATGCTTGAGTCATCCATGCTGCTTTATTTGTGCAATATTATAACGAGGAAAATCTTTGCTCCTTTAAATGTGCGAGGTCATATATTTTTCCGATTATGACAAGTTTACAGTTGTACATTCCTGCAGCATTTGCTCATGCTAGAATTGTTAAAGTCTTGCTTTGGAACCTTTGACACCAGTTGAAGCCTTTTCTGTAGAGGTTGCCAAGGTATTTCGTGGTACATATTGGCAGAAAAGACCAGTTTCATCAGTGTTGTAAATTTGTCCTGGAGGTAACGTTTCACTATTAATGTGTTCAATGAGTTCATCTGCAAATAGGGTTTGAAGCTTTTTCACTTGAAATTTTAAATTGCATTATAGCACAGTGATTTTAAAATTTGCTTAACCAATCTGTCGAATGCGTGCACTCAGTTTTTAAGTTCATTTTTTCATGAAATATTTCGGCTTGGGACATTAGCATTGGACCCATTAATGGCACACCCTCACTGCGTCTCTGTCTGATCATTTAATCATCACTTTATCATGATCCTCATTTTTAGCGAATAATTTTTTTGTTATTCATTGCGATTGAAATCCATCAAAATTTCATAAAGTTCCCTTTTCTGTTATGTCATACGCAGCTGAATTTCCAATGCCATATTCTTCGCATAATTTTGAAACGGATATACATGTATCCATTTTTTGGCAGCAATTGCACTTTTTGTTTAATTAACATCAACACATGCTTTCACTTTGTAGATCCTGTTGGAACTCCAGAATTAGAAACTCTTTTTGACATAATAGGAAGTTCAAATTTTAGTAAATGCAAAAAATAATATGCTGGATCAAATCAGAAAGTTAAGGAACATTGTAATCTGCTATATTAACTGAAATTCCTTGGAATCAGTAAAGTATAATTTTAGCCTAGCTCAACAGCTTCCGCTATACATTATTGGCCATGTAGCAGGCAATGAAGGACAAAATATTTTGTTAAATATTATCTTGTTTATATTGTGCACTGAGACACTTAAGCCTGAATTGTGTTAATTTAGTTATTTATTATACGTACATGTAATTCTTGCACATGCTGAAGGTTTATCTGAGTCCTAAAATAAATTCCCGAATATACTTAAGCTTACTGAGTGCCGCCGCCAGATATTTTGCTGCCTGATGCAGTCTCTGGCGGTGCTAAATTCTCAACCAAGCGCCTCGCTACGCTCTAAATTTTGGGTCCCAGTGCTTTCCCTAAATTCTAAGAATTTTATCATCCCTTAATTATGTTACTCAGTGCTTCTCTAAATTCCAAAAATTTTGTCTTCTCTAAATTCTGCTGCCGGTTCTGGGTTTATGTGATTACAATTCATTTATTCTTAATTCAAATGGCACTAAATGTGATCTTTTGATCTATATGTATCATTAACAAAATCTATTTTTAGCAGGGCTGTGCAGTCGGTAGTGAAAATGAGCAGCTCCAACTCTGAATTTGACACCTGGAATTTTAAAGACTCCGATTCAACTCTGACTCCCTCATATATATATGTATATGTAAACATATAATACTCATAGGTTATAGCTTATTTTTTTAATATAAAATAAGTAATAGATGCTACAGGAAAAAAAAGTTGATGGCATAGAAAATTATTTATATTTATTAGCATTTATTATGAAATGGAAAAAACTGGCATTAGTTAGTTTAAAAAACAGTATCGCTTCAGCAAATCTTGTTGAAGCCCTTAGATCCGATTTGATAAACTTCAGAGCTGAGAAGAGTCTTTCCACACTAACTTGAGTAGAGGAAGACTGTTACTGTTAGGGGCTACTTCTTTTAAACTTTCAGGATAGATTTATAAGTTTTAAGAGGTATTGGCAGGGTAATCATATTTCTTTATTTCTTCAAAGGCCGTGCAGAAACTTTGTATTTTTTCATTTTTATATCTAAACACTCTTGGTTCTTTATTTTCATTCACTTTGCCTAAGCCTTTTCAGTATTATCCAAAAATATTTCTTAAAATTTATTTCATCACTAGAAGACGATGATAGAGACTCAATTGCAATGTCTGCAGTTTGACTGTCCTGATTTGAATTAAGTTCATAGATGGCTTTCTTTGCCTTTGTTAGTCAGCCAAGATTATTCGGTGTTTCGGATCTACATATATTGAACCCAGCAAGATCTCATTGTCTAGCACAATTAGTTTCTCATTCTCATTGAAGAAATGATTCCTTCTCAATATAAACCCTCCATTTCGAAAGAACAAAACTCGTTCTTCCTTCTCCCCTCCTTCAATTCTCAGATTGCAGCATTTTTGGCTATAACGGTTAGAAGAAGTTTCCATTCTACAAGATCATCCACAGTCTTTCTGTTAGCGATCATGGGTTACCTACCTTTCAAAAAAGACCTTATTCTAAAAGCCTTTTTATCATCAACTGTTACTTCTTATCAGTTGCTTGATAAATATTGCTCCTTTCCTGCTCGCTCCTAAGAATGGCATTAATTTTAGGAGTTCTTGCTGCTATTGTACTTACCTAAAATTTACCAGGAAAATTTGTAACTAAATGAAGTAACTAAATGAATCGTTTAATCACTAATGGCAAATATCACATCATCATCCTCTCTTAATTTATTTATTAATAGGTCAAAAAATAGAAAATAACTTTTATTAATGTATACGTTCATAAATAAAAAATAATAACTCAGCTTGTCATTAATTTTTTCAATTAATTAATTTCATTTCAAATTCAAACTGTCCTACAAAAACTGGAGTTGGAGTCGACCTGTTTTTAGCGACTCCAGCTCTGTCTCCTTTTATCCCAAAATCTGCCTGACTGCGACTCCACCACCCTGATTTTTAGCATATGGAAAGAAATTTTTGTTAAATTTTTTCTTGTCAACAATAACAACTTAAATCCGTAATCATTGGCAAGGCTTATGTCAACATAAAAGGTTACCATACTCCTTTATTATTCAATTACTAACAAAAAAAAAGTTTAGGCATTGCTACATGAGTTATTACTCAATTTGTCATGTTTTGATAAACATGCGGTGATGAAATGAAAGTATAATAAATAATGATTCGCCAGGTTGGCGTAGGGTCAACGATGTATCTATGTGGAATGTTTTTCGGTTTGAGTTGTGTGCCAAAAAGCAGATAGGCGGGAACGGAGCCAAATTACTGATCATACAAATTTATGCTAAAATGTCTTTTTCTTCAATAACAAGGTATTTTATTTAGTGTCGAAGTGAAATTAAGAATCAAGACTCTCCAGATGTTTTATTATGTGCGGAAGGGAGGATTAGATACGTATGCGTAAATTCTAGGAGAAAAATGTTGGTGATGATTTTGAGGTCCGGATTTCGGACTTTGTACTGTATCAAAAACTTTTCACCTTTTAAGGTATAATTTCTTTTATCATGCAGTGTTAATTTGGTAATTTCAAGATCAATTTGTATACAAAGTTTTCCAACAGGGTGTTAAGTACATTGCAGTAGAAGTTTGTGGGGGGGGGATGTAAAGAAAAGCAATCAAAATTATATGAATTTTTGTAAAAGACCTGTTTTTGATATCAATGACATTTAAAATGTAACAGTCACATTAAGATTACAAAATTAGTAAAGAGGTCCTCACTCTTATATTATGGTAATTGATTTAAGATTTGGGTTGAAGCTAAATGTTGTTAAGTGGATATAGAATGCAGAGAGAAGCCATTTGATTGACTTGAAATCACGCTAATCCCACAGCGGCACAGTAACAGTGGAGTGGTGCCAATCAAAATTTCAAATTTGGGCTTTCACACGCCCATATTCGCAGTAGGATTACATCATTCAAAATTCGATGGTTCTGTGTACTGTTGTTTTATCGTAATGTGAGAAATATACATACATTTATTTCATATTTTTCATTATTTTATTTCATCAAATATAATGCAAGACTCTAACATTTGGTGGCGACACTGTGAAAAGTGAAGCGGACATTTATAGTGAACCAACGCAAAATCGCAAAATGAAAACAGTAGTCCTTCAGGGTCAAAGCCCCTTTGGACTAATAAGAATGAAGTTATGTTAGCTTACCGAGTCATCAAATTATCCAGAAATTCCATCGCTGATAGAATAGAAGTTATGTTTGAAAATGTCAGAAAACTAGTAAAAGAGTAAAAATATATTTCAGAAAACTAGTAAACTAGTAAAAATATATTTCAGAAAACTAGTAAAAATATATTTTCTTAAGTTAACAGTGTGATGAATCAACAGATATCTGCAGTATAGCTCAAGTAAATATTTTTAACATTGGTTACCACCAATGTAAAAAATTTCTCTGTAAAAGAAGACATACTGTCAGTTTTGTTATTAAAAGTCAGTACACATAACGGGTCACCAATGGATTCAATTTATCCAAGTGATCATAATGACACTAGCAGTAATGAATTGAGTGATGAAATTTATCACAACTTGCCAATGAATGGACAAGAAATTCGGGATTTATTTGGCAATTCTGACTCTGAATGAGAAGTTGAAGGATTCGAATAAAATTCTCTGGAAATTTTGTATATATTATAAAATTATATCATTCACTAAAATGGAAATAAAAAAAAATTTGCTAAATTATGAGTAAAATTTTAGCAAGAACATTGGCATGCTTTTTTGCTGCTACCGCTCATGTGACAAGTATGTTTTTCTCAAAAGCCAGGTAGGGAGATTGACTTATACATGTGTGTGTATATGTGGTAACTTTGCCATCAGATTCCTACAGTCATAGCTTTATCAGTTTTTTGGAAAGAAGTTCTACCACTTTATGCTTTGTCATTTTTGTTCTGATTTACAAAAGTCTTCCCGGTATCATTACATTGCAGAAATGCTTCACCATTGTTCCTGCAGAGATATAAGAACCCTTGGCAAGTATTGATGTGTCTCTTTTATTATGATTTTATAGAGTGTTAGGTGTCCATCTTCTGCAAGCTTGTGTTCTTCATGAATGATGTGATGGCATGATCCATCACTTGTATCCAGTGGTAATACCAGCAGCTTGATTTTGCCACCTTGACTTTTGCATATCAGGATTTACCATGTCTGCATTCTTCTGTGTTCATTACTATGAATACTGGAGGCAATCTCAATACTATAGAGGCTATTAAATGAACATGCAACATGCTGTCTCATTTGTGTATGGATTATACACCTGCAGCTGCACTGAATTTGAATCTTTGTAGGTTTTATGCTTTCACTAAGCAAAAATCGGATGGTACTTCATTATTCTTGTTTTGTGCATTGTTGAAATATTGCTGTCATCTTATCATTTTGTTTCTCCAGTTCCTGTGCATGCAGGAGGTGTGCGAACATCACCCTTTGGTAACAGAAGATAACTTTTGTATATCTATGGCTTGATCTATCACATGCATCCAGTAGTAATACCAGCAGCTTCATTATGCCACTTTGACTTTTGCATGTCATGATTGCCCATGCCTGCATTCTCCTGTGTCTTCATTGATTGCTATGAATACTGGAGCCAATCACAACCCTATTGAGGCTGTTAATTCAACCTGCTGTCTCATTTATGTACAGCTTATACACCTGTAGCAAGACTGAATTTGAATCGCTCTATGCTTTCAATAAGTAAAAATCTGATAGTACTTAATTTTGTGCATTGTTGATTGTTGTCATCTTATTTTGTTTCTCCAGTTCCTGTGTATGAGGGAGGTGTGCCAACATCACCCATTGGTAACAGAAGATATATTTTGCATATTTGATATACAAGAGTTTTCGTCGTGCATACAATTTAAAACATTTCTACAGATTTTCCACTGAATGATCCATGTATTTATGTATGTGTGCCATAAGTAATAATATCTTTGGTACAAGTGTACAAAGCTGATATGAACTATATTATAAAATATTTGTGCAAGAGCTAAATTTTGACATTACTGCTATTAGGTCTTTTACAAGTAGCTTAGTTATGTTATAATCTGTATTTATTTTCTGTGTAACTTCTTTAAATTTTAGGCTTCTTTAAGGACACGCAAGTACAATGTTTCTCTAAAGCTAATTGGAAGAATAAAGCATAGTTGGTTATTATATAATGAAAGACGAAGTATGCTGCATGTTTTGGCTCGTGAGGCTATTCCTGATTATTGCCCTGATCTTCAAATTAAGGTAATTATAATATGAATGTAATTTATAACTTCTGAATTTCATCCATGTGACATAATTACATATAGTGCATGTTATGTAGTTGGCTAAATACCATGTACCTCATTAGTGACTTAGTGAATATGGTTGCTCAGTTCTAATTTGTTCTGTTTCTACTCCCAGTGAACAAGCTGTCCCCCCTTCCTGCTATATGTAACATGAATATGTCTAGTTTCCTTTAGAAAATCCTCCATGAAAACATTCGTCTTATGGCAGATGACAGTTAAGCTGACTATTTATTACTAATTGTATGCAAATGTAGGTCTTCCAACAACTATTACATGTGTGTGCAAGTGCACGTGTACATATGACAGACGACTTGAATTTATGTATATAAGATCTGAATTATTATTAAATAAAATTCTGCTTAATAAACTTATTTTTTTATTAAAAAGTTTTAAGTTTGTCTGTAAGCATGAAATATATATATTAAAAAACTGGTACTCTGTAATAAGCAATTGAAATTTGCTTAAATTGTAAATTTTGTTTGAATGTAAAGTAATGAAAAAATAAATGTGTACATGTACACAAATAAACATTTAAAAAAGGGAAAATTCCAAAGCATGGAGTTTTGCAGTGAAGTAATCTTTTTTCATTTTTTAAAAATTTTCAATCTAAAAATGTTTATGAATTTCATTGTGTCTTCACTTTTAATTTGTATTGTTTTTATTAATTAAAACTTTCTTTTCTGTTCTTCTTAATAATATAAAGCAAAGTCATTGGATTTCATGAATTGTCATTAGTGTTCTGAAGAAAAGATAGGCTGCTGAATTTCTATTTATAAATTTATCACAGAGGGTGTTCACACATTTTTGTAACAATTTTGCAAAGTTTATATATAAGCAAACCTTAAAATTTTTATTTTCTAATATGTTCAGTCTTATAGCTCTTTTGTTGAACTATTCATATTGCATCTTGATTTCCAAGATAAACATCCTTTTCATAAAACATCAAGGTTGATTTTATTCCACTCCTCCTTCACAATCTTCCAGAGTTTCATGCAATGTTTTGGGATGCCGCTTATAAAGAGCTTGTTTTAAAAGTCCAAATGCACACTAATCCATAGGAGACACATCAGGGGACTTAAGTGGGATGCATTTAGAGGGAATACCTTCAACCCCCCTTTTTTTCTCATTTTTTTTTTTTCAAAAATAAAGAGCAGTAGGTTTAGAGGTATGGCTTGAAGATTTATCCTGATTGAACTTAACACAGCAAACATTGTTTAGATAAAGAAATGGAATATTTTCTTTAAAAATAGGTGTTAAAACATAATTCTAACAGTAATCCGAATTATTTTTGACGTTTTTTGTAAATTTGTTTTACTAATTTTAAGTTTTCTGTTATAAGAGAATCCAGTAATAACCATAAAACCTTTAGAAAAACTTTCCTTCTTTCCTCTGAACCAACATAGTCTTTTTCTCCTCTTTTTCTGTTGCAATCAGGTAGGTATATACAAACCTCATAAATTGTAACTATATATTTCCATTTTTCACCTGCCAAGTAACTTTCATATAGCAATTTGCACATAGTCTTATGCTGAGAAACATGTTTCGGCATTAGGTGATGAACATCGTGTTTTTTTTTTTTTTTTTTTTGTTTTTTTTTTTTGATTAGCTTTGAATCGGATTTTATAATTTTGATCAGAGTTCCTATGGAAGATACCTAGATTTTGCAATAGCTCTTTAGGGGGCTGGATTTTCCTTTGAAATATGAAATGTGAGTTTAGATTTAATAACAGCTGTACATACCTTTGTTGGGTGTGCATGTTTTGCCTTTTTCTTGGTGAGATGTAAACTTTAATTTTTCTTTCCTTTCATATTAATCATGACACTTATTTTACATATAAAAATATTAAAACCATGCTTTTCACATCTTTTTTTAATAGTTGAATAAGAGTATTTCTCTTTGGACAGTGCAGCAATATAGCCTTCAATCCATTGTTTATTTTTCAGTGACTTTTTTTTTAAAAAAAGAATGTTTCTAATGCTGCAGATGATAATTAAACCTTATTCCAATTTGATGCCAGCCACATTTGAATTTTAAAATTGATATTTAAATTCAGTTATTAAAAGTCAAAATTGTTACAAAAATTCATGAACACCCACTGTATTTTTGCATTTTTCTTCGTAGTTTATAACATCGTCTCCCAAGACTATCTTCCTTTATTTGTTTATAAGTACATTATTTCTTTTTTTTCCCCCAGTGAATGCATTCTTGTTCATTTGCTGCAATTTATATTAGCTTTGATATCTTTCTTGTAATTTAAAATTTAAATAGGTTTATATGAAAATGTACATAAGCTTTTATAAGGTGATCTTGGTTATTTTTATATTACAATTTCCTTAGTGTACTTAGTGTGTGCTTCCTTGTTGATGCTTTCAGGAAGGTTTTTCTTATATGCATGTTATCTATAATTTGGCTTTTAACAACGTGATTTCAAATTTAAAAAAAAATAATAATAATTCCAAATATATGCATGTAAGCACATTAGGAGAGTATTTAACTTTACAGTTTGATCTTTTATATATATATATATATATATATACATACTAACTTTTACAATCTGATTGTAAAAATTAAAAAGCTGTTTGTTTTTCCTATAAAATATAGTAACGTCAAAAATGTAATGTACCATTGAAACATTTTGTGCATTTCTAATTAAGATTCTAGTTAACATTCTAGTTAAGAAAAAGATCTTGAAAAACCCATATGTGTATAAAAATTACGGTACACACAATAATTTACTAAAAAAAAGTTCATCATATATGTTGCACCACCCTACATCCTGTAGCAAACATGGCACTTAATATTCATTTATTTAGTAATTCTTTTCTATAATGATGTAATCATCTTAATTATCATATAACATTTATAACATAACTATAAAAGTAATATATAAATGAATAAAAAAATAAATGTCTTACCGTGAACTTCCCAAAAATGAACTCTGCTGATTTTCTTGTAGACTATCAAATAGATAATTAAACAGAATTTTATAATTTAAAGTAAACTACATTTATTTATACAAAACCATCAAAATCTGACTCGTCAATGACAGCATTAAATAAACGAATGACCATCAAGACCATTGTCATCACTCTGCTCTAAATCATTTCTTCCAATGTCATATCATCATTTTCTTATTCAATCAATGATTTCTGATTTAATAAAAGCTAATATGACTGTATCAGCTCGAACTGATTTCCATGCTTTATGGACCCACAAGGCAATCTCCTCATGCAAAGCTTTGCTGATCCATCTAGAATACGTGAGGGAATGAAGTCTGTTTCAGAATGGTCATTGGAGTAAGCAAGCAAAACTACGGAGCAGAAAGCACATGCATTACGGTGGAGTGCCACCTATTGTATTTAGGCAAGTTTGATTTGGATTAGAATTAGATGCGCTGTCTTTGTGCAACCTGAGTGATTGTATCATGTTAAAATATCACAGGTAATTCTATATCTAGTAGTGCATAACTTACAGTATAAACTAGGAGTTTTAAAGAAATATGAAAAAATTTCTTCAGATATGCTGCAGACCTAAATTTTCAACTTTTAAGTGCATGTTAACCACGGTTTATCTATCCGAAATTATAGTACCCACACTCTTGTATCATGAAAAAATTATCTCATTTTTCATATATATGCATTTCAGCAATGTTGTTTTTAATGTACATTTTTTAATTTTTTAATAGGTTGCACAGTTTTTAATTGAAAAAGGTGTCCCTCCTATGGTAAAAGATGAACATATGTGCACAGTTCTTCATTTTGCTGCAGTGAACTGGAATAACACCATATGTTCCTTTTTCACAAGTATATTTATTTTAATATTGTATATTTCAATACAAGCAGAAATATTTATCATGTGGATTTTTTTTAAAAATATATTTATTTTTCATTTCAGGTAAGGTGGGTGTTACTGGTGCTGCTCATGTAGATCCTGATAATTCTTTAAGAACTCCATTTTCTGCTTTATTTTGGAAACTTACAAAGGAAGATATGTCTGAAGATATAAGGTGCATAATTATTTAATTCTGTTTGCTGTCTTCAGTATGATCACAAACTTTTTTAACTACAATCACCTACTTTAGATAAAATTTCATTTCAACAAACACCATTCCTGAATTATGCCCAAAATTCTTGATATTTTTCAAAACCACTGTCAAAACGTACAAAAACATGTAATTTTGGTAAATTTATGTTGAGTTTCTTATGTTTCTTAGGTGAAATAATTGAATAATTCCTGTTCACCAATAAATCTGCTTTATTGCTATCCGAAATTTCGATAAATATTTTATAACAATCATTTTTACACAGGTAATGTCTGTATTCCTGATTACTTTTGGCTTCAGCTTTGAGATCCTTTAATTCAAGAATTAAATCCTTAATTTCCAGATTTACTTAAGTATTTGTTCTGCTCTGTCTTTTAATTTTATATCACATTCTTTTAATGTTTTTATACCTACAGTTTGTTGTTTAATAATTTGGATGTACAGTTAATTACTTACGTGATTAATATTATCATTTTGCTTTATCTAAAGCTTATAAATATTTTTAGCCATAACAAACAATAAGTTACATGCTTTTAACTTCTGTTAATATTATTTTAAACAGTTAGGTATATGGTTTGCATTTACTGAAATTTCAAATCAAAATTTAATTTCTTTATGAAGACTTTATGTCGGTTGAATAATTATTGTAAACAGTGGATTCTATTTGATGATCAAGCAAGTTCTTCTGTTCTTAAATTAGATCATCAACAATAAGGTTCAAAGAAAATAATATTAGGTTGACCGGAAAGTAATGCCAGTTTTTAACCTATATCTTTAAAGTATCATAACGACTCGAAAACAATTTTATTATTCAAAATAAGCACTAGCCGAATCAATACATTTTTGCCAACGAGATATAAGTTTATTTATGCTGGTAGAATAAAATCCTGGAGTTCTGGACGTGATAAAGTTTTCACAGGCGTTTTTGATCTCATCTTGGTTTCTGAAGCATTTCTTCTACGGAATGTTATCCAGATGTTTGAAAAAGTGGTAATTAGTCGGCGAGAGGTCAGACGAATATGGGGGAAGAGGGAGAGTCTCATATCCCAATTCATTCAATTTCTGTAGGGTCAGTTGCACGACATGCAGCTGCGCATTGTCATGGAACCGAACACAGGTCCAAGGAAAACGGAATGTTGCGAAGGTAAGCACTTTAATGTTGCTTCAACTGTAAAAAAGTGATTAATACTGATTTGAATCTTAAAAGGCGAAAACACATAATGTACAGGGCCCCACTTAGCCTAATTGTGACTGCGGCCCTCTCTGCTTCACTACTGCAGTAATGAAGAACCAAATTTTATGGAGGCATTTAAATTTTTATAATAATAAACTTTCTATTCAGGGCCTCTCTCTGATGTGGGGTTCCAGGGCAACTGTGCCACATGCCCCTGCCTTAGTCAGGCTCTGATAATGTGCATCGTCTTTTTCTGCGACATATCACCGAACGCTGAACGCGCTGTAAATTTCTTTATGGAAAACAGTTATCCTGATAAAAATAGGAAAATACTGTCCTTCAAATGAATCTGGGATGTATTTAAATGACTGAAACAAAAAGACATCCATTATTTCCACCAAAGAGGAGAAAAAAACCTTAAAATAGGGGTCCTCAACCCGTGGCCCGAGAGCCACGGATGGCTCACTGAAGGTATTTTAGTGGCCCCACATATGAATTTGAAAAAAAATTGAAAAATTTGTAAGAAATTTTTATTTTAAGAAAAATTGCCTAATCAGCTTTTTGTCGTAAAAAATAACTTTGTTTTCTCTTATTCTTGATATTTAGAACATTTTGTTGACATGCCTGTTATTATTTGGGATAAAATTTTCTGAAAATGACGATTTTTTAAAAAAATTTCACTTTATCTTATGTAATATGTGTTCCGTCTGAACTTCAATTAGAATTTATAGATTTACTATGCGACTTTGCAGTAAAATGCAAGTTTCTTGAAAATCCTACATTCATTAATTTTTATTCGAAATACGTGATGGAAGACAAGTATCGAGGAATTCGTAAACATGCAGTCTTCATGTCTTCTATCTTTGGCAGTGCCTACATATGTGAACAGCATTTTATTAAAATGAAAATCCTAAAATCAAAAATAAGAACACAGCTGACAGACAGACATTTGGAGGAAACTTTTACGAATTGCAATAGCACAGATTAAACCAGATATTGAAGCTTTAATCAAGCAAAAACAATTTCAAATTTCACATTGAAACCAAAGTAACTACCATTTTCCACCAGTAATAGAGGTTTTTTTTTTATTTTATTTTATTTATTTTAAATGCATTTTGTAATATCGTTCTGCACACTCATCACTAAACTTTTTTTCATATTTAAGAAAAATTGCAAAACATTTTAATTCGATTTCCGACTGTTGGATTGACTTTTCAGAACCAATGTATCCATATACAAATCTGCAACATTATCTCTTCGGTTAGAATCAATTGTAGTCCTGCAAAAGAAACCTCCCTGTTTTTATATAAATTTTCTGACTACACTATTTTTTTTTTTTTTTTTTTTTTTTTTTACAGACACGTGGCCAGCGAATCTTTGTGAATTTATTGATGTGGCCCTTGGGCGTGTAAAGTTTAAGACCCCTACCTTAAAACATGGTTCAAAGAATCTAAAGAAAGCTTTCCAAAGAGATTTATGACTGTTCCTGCTTTTTCATATAACTGTAAATTAAAAATAAAGAGAGTGTAAAAAAATATTAAGATAAATTCCACAAATTATCAGACATATCTGATATTCCAAATTTCAAATATTAGGTTGTTCGGAAAATAATGCATGTTTTTAATTTATATCTTTAAAGTATCATAACTCAAATAAAAAAAATTATTAATCAAAATAAGCATCAGCCGAATCAACCCAACGAGATATAAGTTTATTTATGTTGGTAGAATAAAATTCTGGAGTTCTTTATGCGATAAAGTTGTCAAAGGCATTTTTGACCTACTCTTGGTTTCTGAAGTATTTGTTGCAGAGATGTTATCCAGAGATTTTAAAAAGTGGTAATGGGTTGGCGAAAGGTCAGGCGAATATGGGGGAAGAGGGAGAGTCTCGTATCACAATTTATTCAATTTCTGTAGGTTCACGACATGCGGCTGAGCATTGTCATGGAACTGGCCGCTTTCTATTGACAATGCCGAGCACATGCATTGCCATTTTTGGTGCATTTCGTTGATTTGCTGACAGTGCGCATCTGCTGTGATCGTTTTGCTCAGATTTAGGAAGCTGTGGTTGATGAGACTGGCCGCAGACCTCCAAACAGTCACCATAATTTTCTTTTGGTGAAAATTTCACTGGAAAATGTTGTGGTGTCTGACTGCGGTCCAACCATTGAGCCGAATGTCAAGAGTTGTTAGAGAGAATCCACTTTTCATCCCATGTAACAATTCGATCAAGAAAAGGATCATGTTGTGGAGAAGAAGAGCAGACGATACTTCAAAGCGGCGACTTGTGTGTGTGTTTGTTAAATTTGTGCTACACTGTGGCCTAGCTTGTACTCATAAAAATAAATTTGCAGAAAATCCCATTTTTGACATCTAAACAAAAATACCTAGTTAATAATTTTGAAACAAAATGATTATTATAGAAATATAGAGCAAAAATAGAGCTTCAAAGTGATATATAAACCAGTATAATGCAAAATATTTTTGTTGCTAAAAATGTACAGGAAAGAAAACAATTGCAAAAATCTGCATTATTTTCCGGACAAGCTGATAAAAATTTGTTTGCCAGTTCATTTGTTGACATGGCTGTGCTTTATCTTGTTTTTTTTATACTTCTGTCTTCTATTATGAAATTATTAGCACACTTCCACTAATAAAAATTGACTTTGATAGCATTTTAAATTCTTTAATAAACTAAAATTTAAAACTAGCAAAAATATTACAAATATACATATTGCATATAAATCTCTAGTTGTCATTATGTGCTCATGGCATTGCTTACTATTCAGTTCTAATGGCAATAGAATTTATCTTGCTTTTAAATTGAAATTGTTAACACCAAGACATTTCTGCTGTCCTTTTCTTTGTTTGGGTAAACTTCTGTTACCGTTTGCAATGATAATCATAATGTTTTATTTCAGCAATAAATTTTCACATTTCAAGCCATTTTATAACTTTTCCATTGAATGTTACCATTTTATTCTGAAAGTATTTGACTGCATAATTTTATTATTAAAAAATAGTTACTGATGATATTACATCATTTGCCTTAGTTTTCTTCGTTCATTATAATGATTTTTCATGCTATCTACCACATTGCTGTGCTAGGAACTTTTTTTGTTTTGTTTTGTTTTGTTTTTGATTACAACATGAAGCATTTGAGTGCAGCACTTAAACAGGAGAATAAAAACTTTAAAAAATAATTTTAAGGTAAAGTAAGTAAATGAAAGCTTGCTGAAGACAATGCATTTTGAATATTGAAATGTTCTCTCTATACTGTAAAATATTTAAATGTCTAGCATAAGTATATTATTTTATTTTAAACAAAATTCCTAATTATTTATTTTTATTTTTAAATTTAGGAATTGGTGTTGCAGTTTAATGAAAGCTGGTGCAAATCCAAATACACTTACTCGATATCCAATTATAATGAATCCTTATCCCGGTGTTCGTTGTAAAGTCCTAGACACATTGCATATGGAAGATCCTAATGCTCCAAAGTTTACCCCTCTTGTTATGGCTATTTACCAGGCAAATTATTCAGTTGTGAAATTCCTTTTGAATAAAGGTGCTGATGTAAATTTCCCTGATGGTCAATTAAGAACACCTTTGATGCATGCAGCTAGACTGGTATAGTATTTTACCTTTCATAGAATATTTATTAGTGTATTCAGCTTTTATGATGCAAAATAAATTATGATGTTATACACTTGATTTCCTAAAATCAAGCAATCTGCTACTTTTTTTGATTCCATGTCATATAATCATTTTGATACTCATTAAACATTATTCTCTTAGCTTAAAGACACGTGCATGCATTGAAAAAACATTCAGTGCTACAGTTTAGACACAGTTAAGAAATAAAGACAAGAAACATAATTATTCAAATCAGATGTACTAAAAAATTTGAAAACATGCATGTTATATATAAACTAAGCATTTTGTTAAAAGTATCCACCAAAAATTGGAGTGCTGCTCTGTTGCATGATTAAACTAAGTGCTTGATTCCTTCATGATACCTTTCACGGCATAAAGAGCAAATATTAATAGTTGCATGTCATAAAAACATAAAGTAAATGCTAAATTTATTTTAAAATTTAAATCATATTATTGTTTAATAATTAATGATTCTCAAAATCTTTTTCTTCCATTAATTTCTTTGATTGTTTCTTAATGTTTTGAAGATTAACAAAATAGTTGCATTAACTTCAGTTTTTATCACTGCCAGCATATCTTCACCTAATTCTGTATTGTCTGAGTTATATTCTTAATATAAAGAGAAAATTAATTGTAAAAATAAGAACGTTGAATGTTAAGTTTTTCGTAGCTGAGTATTTGAAGAACCATCATATTTAAATGCAGTATATAAAGAGAAATAGGAAAAGTGCATTTTTGCACCATTTTATTGAATCCTCAGTAATGCCTTAATCTTCAAAATTAATTTTTTAAATATAATTTTAGAGTTCTGCCCTTTCTTACAGTATTACTACTAGTCTGCTGTTCCGAATTTTCCAACATTCATGAATTTTTAATAAATGAAAGTAATATTGTTATTGTTAAGATAAAAATGAAGTAATTATTTGTGCAACAATAATTTGTATCTCTTGTTTTCTTTCAGAATGATATAAGAATGGTAAAATTGTTGCTTAATTATAATTATGATCCAGCAAAAGATAGGAATCCATATGCAGGTATGTATTCATTTTAGGGGAACAATCTAAAATGCTTTAATCTTCCTGTATTTCTCTCTTGCAAATTTATGTATCATTTCAGATGTGGAACCTGGATCTTTTCAAAAAACCAGCTCTGCAAATCTTGCTGCCCAAGATTGTGATGCCTGGACTGTGATTCATTACATTGTTGCTCCTCTTCCTGATTATTGCTATTCGAATACTGCATTACTGAGCCTTTTAGCTGAAGTAGGTGCACCTTTAGACAGTGTAAATGCTGTTGGTGAAACTCCTTTGCAGATGGCAATTAACTTAAAACGTGAAGTGATAGCTACTGCTTTACAGAAATTGTTGAACACTCCTGAGGACCAAAAGGTACAAGACTTCTATTCGTCGTATTTTGTAAATGTTTTGGTTAATGTAAAAGGTGCTACCATAAAGTAACTGAATAATTTCTTATAAATCACAGGCTTGCCACGCTACCTGGAAAACCAGGAAAAGTCAGGGAATTTAAATATTTTAGTCAAAATCTGGGAAAGTGAGGGAATTTCATACTGCCATCCTCAAAAACGTGATTTTAACACCAACATTGGTAGCGATCACTTTCTTGGCAAATCATATATTGTATCATGAGCCTCATTTGAACAGCTGGCGTAGAGCCAATTTTAGAAAAGCAAAGCAAATTTTTAACATCTTTGGTTTCCAGTAACCTTAAGAGCCCAGACAGAGCATGCGTATGTGCAGTGCATGTTGAATGAAAGTAAATTACCCCCCCTCGCCCCGAATCTTGTATAAAACAAAATCTTTTAAACCTTTTCTTCTTTCTTAAATGCCTTACTTGCCATTTTGTATTAAAATAAAAAAAAAAACCAGTCATCTAGACTAACCATTTAATATATCTATATTTGTCAAAATATGGTCGATTTTTGTAATTCAGTTTTTAATCCTTAAGTAATTAACTTAATTGTAATGCTATTCATGTCATTTAATGTGTCTTCTTACTTCTAAATTTATTTATTAGTTAATAATATTTTCAAATTTCAGGCAATTTTCTCTAGCATACTCGTGAAACTAATTCTAGCAGTAAAATGACATACCTTCACAAAATTTAGTGCATATGTCTTTTACTTAGTATGTGCTGCTAAATAAATATAAAATACGTGAATTTATTTTAAAATATCATTAAATAGGTTTCTTTCTTCCTTTAGCTGCAAAATGTCTGTAGAAAAGACATTTTCAATCCTCAGTGGAAAAAACAACTCCTATTATATTGGGTTGAAACATAAGTAATGGCTGTTTTATTAATTTAAAAATTTTTATTTTAAGAAAACAAGGAATTAGTCAATAATATCCGAGTTTTTGGATTTTCCCCATAGCCCCAAGATGTCAAACTATAGTCATTTGGCTACAACCCATTCTCGAGTGGTTTGACACGTGGCTTCATGCAGAAGTTGATTCAAACACTCTTCATCAAACTCATTTGGTCGTACCAAAGGAGCAGCCTCTTCGAAATCAAAATTTCCATTTTTGAATGTGGCAAACCAATTTGTAGTTTGTTTAGGCATTATATTTTCTCCATACACTTCACAAATCTCTCGGACAGCATCTGCAGCATGGGCACCTCGATTAAACGCAGAAAGAAGAACGTGTCGGAAATACTTATGTTTGTCGACTTGACACTCAATTTTAATGATTTGAAAAATAACAAAAATTAGCTCGGGGGGGAGATTCTCTTTCAAATAACGCAAAACATTATGCCAATACATTTTACTTGTACCGCGTAATTTTAAACACAACATAAACAGCCATTACCTTATCTTTCAACCCACTAGTTATAAAAGTAATGCTTTAGGGATTATATATATATATATGTTTCTACCTACTACTATTATTTCATATCTTTTTGCAGCATTATGCACAAAAGGTTCAGAGACCAAATAGGTCTTACGTCTAATTACCAGTTAGCTACATTTTCTTTTTCAATTATATATATATATATGTAATTTCATGTGTAATTGGCAATTTTTTGTTTTCAAGTGGTACCATAATTAATTTACCCTCAGCACAGCCAACACATGCAATGTGGATGGCTTGGAATTTTCTTGAGACACACCTGGAAAAGTCGGGGAATTTCATTCTCAAGTTTGAGTGGCAACCCTGAAATCAGAAAAAATTATTCACCTTAAAATAAATTCTCATCTTCAAAATAATATTTTTAACATTTCTTCGGATAACCAAAACACAGTTTATAGACAAACAAAACAAAAACACGGCAAAGTGAAACTTAGAATTAGCAAAGCAACAACTTGTATTTGGCACAGATTTGTCTAAGCCTCAGAAAAAGGAAAAAATCAGTTGGCAATAAATTGGCAGAATATAGGGGAGGGAGGATTGGTCACTGCTGTTGAATGCTTAGCCAATATATTGCCTTGCAGACATTATCACATAAAAAAAATCATTGCTAGAGTCAAAAAGTACCTCCTTATAGAAATACTAATTGATTTTCAGGAACAAATTCTCACAAAAATGCAATCAGAATCACTAGGCTTTTATTTTGACATTTGTATGCCCCTCCCCCTTTGTGTGTATGTGTTTGAGAAAATGGTCCTTTTCACTGTCCACTTCGTCCCCCCTCTTCTTTTTTTTTTTTTTTTTTTTTTTATTTATTTTTCTTTTTATTATTATTATTATTTTGATTGTATCGTAGACACCAAGTCTAATCTCCCGAGATGATGCACTTAACCTGCACCTTTTTGTTTGTTTGTCCAAAGCAGGGTTTCTTAAACTGTGTGTTGCGACCCCCAAGGGGGTCACCAAAAATTTTAGTTTTGATATTTCTTAAACTTATTATTATAATTTTACAATTACCAAATATTTTTATGCAGTGTATCTGAAAAAAAGATAAAGACAATACAGACAAAGAAAAAAACGAAAATGTTTCGACGCATTCTCTTTATAATATAAATGTTCATTTTGCTTGCTTTGAACGTGATGCTGTCATTTCGTCTGTTAGTTATTTAAAATTTTCACATTATTCTGTGTTGTAAAATTAAAAATTAAAGTTATTGACCTAAAACTGCAATAGTATATTACAGTACAAGTAAAAAAACTAAGTTTCACTCAAGCATGTGCTGGATTTGCACAATACTTCTGTGGTCCCACGAAATTTTTGTAAATATTATGGGGTTCGAGAAGTGATAAAAAGGGGTCGCGACTGAAAACATTTTAAGAAACCGTGGTCCAAAGCATATTGGCAAGTTGCTGAGTTGTACAGCTTTGGCTCATCTTCAACTCTTGCCGTGCCGACATTTAAAGCAGTTGTACCACTCTTACACTTGTATTCACGATAAAGATGTATCATCATATACTGTTTGAAACATCTTTAATGTTTAGTTAGCAGATTTAACTAATTTGTAAAGAAATTGAATGTTATTCCATCTTGAAGCAAATTTTTTTTGTACATTGCCTTCTCAGTAAATAAAAATGATTTCAGGATTTTGATATATAAATGACAAAATAAGCAAACTAGCTTTAATAAGAATTGAGATGCCATTCTTTCTAAACATACATTTATTCTTTCACTTAATTATTTTATTGTTTGGTCTTTTAATTTGTCCAGTTAATTAATGAGTGCACGTTTTCATATACATAAGAAAAATATAGGTATTATGTCAGTAAATTATCCTAATTTTACTAATTTGGAAGGAGGTATTTATATTTTTATCAAAAATCAAAATAACAAAGTATTAAAATTAACTGCCCCTTCCCCCCAAAAAAAGCTGTTAATACTTTTTATTAAATGCTGCAGCTGCAAGTAATTGCAGCATTTAATAAAGTGCTATTAAATGTTGAATTATGTATTGCATTATTTTTTTTATATATATATTTGATTTGCGTAAACGTAGTAAAAACATTTCATTTATGGTACTAGCATCAAATGAAAAATGTTGGTATAAAATAGGTAAGCAAATACTTGTAGCTAATTGTTTTTAACTTAGTATGTCTATTACTGGAAATTGAAACTTAGAATAACTAAAAGCAATATTTTGTTTAGTACTATTAGTGCTTATTTATTTAACTTGTGGATTGATCTACGATTCTTGGCAAACTAAGAACTAAATTATCTACTGTTTAATATGTATCATTAAACAGCTGTTTATTTATCAGGTGTTTAATATGTGTTAGATGCTACAAATCTGTACGTTTTCAGCAGTATATGAAAGCAGATATTGTATAGAATGCTAAAACTTGTATGCCAAATTACGAAACGATTAATATTTCACACATTTCCTAGGCATTCCATACTGTCAAAAGACAAGCCTAAAGTGCAGAATACTCCCACTGATTATGTATCTAATGTTATGTGGCAAAGCTAATGACTTTTCATACTTGCCTCATATTTAGAATTTACCATTTGCACTTCCTCTTTATTGGAAGTGATGAAATATGTTACTTTGAATTTGTTCATCAAAGATTAACTCATACTGTGCTTTATGAAAATGGAAGAGAAAGGCATTTTGTTCTAGAAGAAATCATGATTCTATGGTGAACTTCTAAAGAGCAAGCCAGTGTTTTCATTCTTATAGTTGGGGGAAAAAATTATAAAAATTTAGTTACAGATTTCTTACAATTACTTAGAAACCCTAGAAACTTAGTTTTACAAGTACTTAACGCTGAATTTTGCTTTATATTTGTGAGATTTATCACCTGCCATCTAAAGCCAAAGAGGAATTTATAGAGCTCTTGACTCAAAGTATCAAACAATTCACAAAGATTTTATATTTAAAAAAAAAAAAAAAAAAGCATATCCACCTGGTTAAAACAATGTTATTTAATTTAATTAATACTTGAAAGAAATCCTAAAGCTACTTTATTTCATATACTTGTTGATTACCAAAGAAATGAATTATTTTATGGGAAAATATTTATATTTTTATCTTTATTCTGTACTTAATGTGTGAAATCACGAAAAAATCTTGATGATAAAAAGGGGTCATCAATGAAAAAAAGTTTAAGAAACACTGGTTTAAAAGATTTATCTTATATGTACACTATACAGACTATATCACTTCATTTTGCCTGTTGGTGCAATCTGTGTCAGTCCTAAATTCTGCTGCCTTGTGTCTGTCCTAAGTTCTTAAAGTTATACCATCCCTAAATTCTAAAATTTCTGCCATACCTGCCCTGGTGACAGCTTTCAACCATACATCATTTCGTAGTTATTTTCAGTATATATATTATGTAAAAAAGGGCAGTTTCTTGAGTGCATTTTAAATACATGCAGTTTTTTAGAATAACACAAATTTTTAACTAAATGTAAAAATTCTAAAATGAAGAGAATACTTATCGAGAAAATTATTGATTACATAAAAGGA